CCGTGCTGGAGGGGGTCTTGCAGTGTACTTCCTACCTTACACCGAAAGCTCAGACCATTGTCCCCTGCCTGAGTCAAAACACTCCTCAGTGTCCTTCTCAACTCCACTTTACAGCCACCTGGCCCAGGACATTTCAGGTGTTTCTAGCTGTCTGGATAGCTTTATGAACCCAAACTGGGATTTCAGTGTCTGCCTGCCCCCTGCTTTCATGTTGTCAAACCTGCCAACATACTGCAAAGATTGATGGACCTCCACCCTGCTCTGGCACACCTCCTCTCTCATGGGGTCATTGCCCCAGAAAAGGAAAGTTGAAACAGAAATCCCGGAAACCCGTCTGTTCACCATTCCCAAGGCAAAAAGGGTAAGTTTTGTTTAACAGGTGTGGATGTTCAGACCTCATCTAATGAAGTCTTGGTCTTAAGGCAGCTCTGCTGATCTTCGTTAACCTGTTTTTTTTTTTTTTTAGTACATTAGAGAAGAACTTCAGGATTTTTTAAATTAACCCTTGCAGTGGGGGCTACCACCAGTACTGCAAGGGTTAAGTGCTCGTTTGTAGCTACGTGCAAAAATGAAAACTCACCCAAAGCTCCAAGCCAGTTAGCTGTCACAGCACTCCCTTCAACCTGTCTCCCCCCTCCCTGCAGCATTGAAATCTTCCTCAGCGTCCTCCCGTCTATACACTGTGTATAGGCTTTGCTTTATGGGACCGCTGCAGAGGAGGGGGGCAGACGTTGGAAGAAACCGGCTTTGGGTGAGCATAACTTTATTTTTAGTGCCTAGACACAAACAAGCACTTAACAAGCGGTAACTCCCTCTGCAAGGGTTAATAACACATTTCTTGGAACACAGGTCCCTCCCCTCTGTTATGACCCACTTCTGCTTTGATTTAAAACGGCATGATGGGAATGGGAGGAGTTATACTGGGCTGTCCTTGCAGCTTTGTAGTTCTTGAAGGCAGCAGCATAACCAAAAGTACTTGAATTACTTCATCCCGTGTACCCCAAGAAAATAATTTACAGTAAGCTAAATAATGGCATATGAATGCGCGTGTATGAACGAGTCCCATAGGAATGCATTCTTTTTTCATGTTTAGCAAATTTTTGCGCGCATAATAACGCCTGTGTGAATGGAGACGCGTGTACAACATTTTGAATAGAGACGTCCTGCACTGTGCACTTCATTTACATTGTTTTACTTTGTTTTAGTATTAAGATATTTCTGACTGGTCATAAAATGTGTTTTATAGCTTTGTGCTGTGACTGTTCGAGAGAGAGAGAGAGAGAGATGTTCTTTCTTTCTTTCCAGGTCCACTGCTTCTAGGACATTTCACTATAAGGACAGGTCACTTTAAAAGAAACCTGACATGGGAAAAATGTTGGCTGCCATTGCTGGTTTCCTGAACATACTAGTTGTCTCAGCTGGAAGCATGTGGGGGTGAGACATGTGTTTTTCTATGTGAAGAATTACTGGAGGAATGAAGACAAGATACATTGCACAAAGAAAAAAAAAGTCACCAGATTTATTCACCACAAAATTGTTTCTGAAATCTGCACAGAATGATTTAAAAATAATTCATACATAGATCTAGCAATTTACAGTATGTTACATAACAGCGAGTCACCCTCTTTCAGTGTACGGATTTCCACTAAACTGCATCAAAAGAAATGGATTCCAGAACCTGCCATGTCTTCAGTGAGTCCTCCATCCTCCTTTATTAAGTTACAATCAGTATGTTTAACATTAAGACACAGGCCAAGCTGTCCGCCATTCTACTCGGGCTCCCGTGTCCGCCATTCCAAGCACTACGAATGCCTGTAGGCTTCTCTGCCTAGCTTGGCTTGCTTTCAGATAATTTGTCACTTGAAACATATGTACGTTGTGTCATGACAATCATCTCCATCGTGCAGGTGTCCGAACTCTCCTTGTGTTGTTCTGGCCTATATATGGTGACAGGCAGAATGGTGAAGAGGTATAACTACGTTATGGAGGCAATTATCAGAAAAGACTGGAGCTGGTTTCAAAAGACAGTTTAGCTGGAAGCAAAACAAATGGTTAGTGGAGAGATGCATTGTAACCATGCATTGGAGGCATCCACAAAGTGCTTTAGTGATGATCGCTGGCTCTTGAAGCTGGCTATTTTCTGTGAATGTTACATCAGCTTACAAAATGGCTGCCTTCTGTACCTGTGCACTTTAAGGTCCCTGCCACACCTCTACATTCCTACACAGGCGTTCCTACACAGGCGTTACTGCACATTGTGTTACAGCTGAACTCTGCGCACAAAAATATCAATTTTACTATATTCCTCAATAGCCACAAAGGATATAAATGCCCTTTGGGTGCACCAAGAGGCTTTACAAAACCAGATATTACGGGTTAAAATTAGCAATGACATCACACTGTGCTGCACATAGCCTAGGCAGAGAGCACAGATGTGGGAGGGACCCAGCAGGCTCCACCCACTACAGTCTGCCTGGGGGCAGATACAAGTCCAGTCACTCTACAAGGAGAGAGGGCAGCAGTGACTGGTCTTTATTACAGGAATCTTCTGTACAAAGGCAAAGCTTTTTTTAGGCTGGATTACTGCACAGATCTGGAAGAAATACATAATACATCACAGATCTAAAAATAAGGGATTTAATTCTCCTTTTCAGATTGTAGAGCCATGTGAACCATTGCCCCTGGTGTCATGGAGCCATCTATTCCGGACTACACACAGCTGTTTCAGGCTAGTTGGAAATAGCTGTATGCAGGTTTGAAATAAATAGTTGTATAGTATTAGGCTGTATCCGGGGGAAATAAACCTGCCGTTCTGGATGTACACTTAGCCACAGAGGCATTACAAATGATCTGCATGACCCACTATCCTATAATGAGGAACAAACCTTTAGTTATTTGGATCTGTGATGGAAGTGGACCTGCAAATACCTTCTGGTTTAAGAAAGGTCTACTGTATTTCTTTCTATTTGGGTGGGGGCCTTTTTGGTTCCTTTTAGCCCCTCATCTAAAAGGTGTCTAGTTCTACAGCAATAGAAGGAAAACAGGACCTGCACCTTTTATTGGGGAACGGCAGACTCCATGAAAATTGTGTAGCACTGCAGTATGGGTCTGTTAGCACCTACGGTAATGTGCTGGGATGCTCTTCTAATGGAATTGCACCACAAAGAGTGCCATGCAGTAATGCATGCCAGTATAAAATGCATAGGTGTGCAGATTTGTACTTGAGTTATAGGAGGACTGTGTCACCCAATACCTTTTTATAGCATTTAGGGGACTACTTGCTTTGTTTTCCATTAAAGTACATCAAGCAAAGGGAGTAAGACCCCCTCATAACCAGTGGGAGCACCTCAGAACTCAGGCACTGATATCTTCCCACTAGTGCTCAACTAGTACAAGCCAGCCTGGGAAGTTTCATAGGCAGGCATGAGCCAAAACATCCAACCCTTGAAAGTAAGCCTGTACACAGCTTATTCAGAGAAAAGTAACCAGCTCACATAAGAGCACCCTGACCCCACTTCAACAGCTTATACATACCTTCTTCTTGCCCATCTACCATCCCCTTCACCTGCCAGAGCCAAGTGAGAGAGCTTTGTGTAAGTTCCAAGCCAGTCTGGTCTCAGCTTGCACAGAGCTGAAGACCCTCCCACTCTATGATGGTTGTTGGCCATTGTGATTGGGCAATATGGTAAGCGTAAGGCGGGGCTAGCAAGTGAAATGATTACTTTGCTCTAAATATGCAAAGCAATGGGCTCCCTTTAAGGAACATAACTTCAAACTCTATAAGCAGACAATGTAAGGCATTAATCAACAGCCAGCATGATACAGATCATAGTTGCAATTCACATCATTAATGATCTTTAGGGGCACTTGAAATTACATATTAAATGCTACATTTCCACACAATGTACATGTCATCATTATCACACAATATCACATTGGAAAAAAAATATTTCATTCAATTTCTATACAGAAAATGAATTGCATTAATATTCATCTTTTATGGTATTACAATATATATAAACTATCCAGACCATAATAATCAAAATAACATATAAAATCAAGACAAATAAATTCTGTTTTAATATGTCAAAGCTTTAAATGTGAAATATGCTACCAAACTGTTTTTGGTCTACAAGAAAGTTTAATAGAACCCATTTTATTCTGGAAGTGCGTACCTGTCCGATAGACGGGCAATACAATGGCACAGAAGATGGCACCTGCTAATGCTATTCAATGAAACCACTTCAATGGCTGTATCAATCCCTATAATATATGTACAATGTACTATTTTATAAAGTACATCAGTGACTGGCCCTTAACTACTATTGTTCCTTAAATGATGCACACATATCTTACTGTTATAGGACAGACATGTCTTCAAATTCTACATGAAGATGTCACATTACATTTTATTGTTTATCACTCCCCCAATCTGCAGATAGAAATGTCTTCTAATAATTCCCACAAATTGCAAAACTTGATTTCTAAATATTTTATTGGACAGTTTTGATATGTTTCTCAATGTATTTTTAATCAATAACTGGCATGCCAATCATAAAATATTGACCTTTTACACTTCTGAATAGTCTCTTAAATTTCTGACCAATCACTAATGAAAAAATCTTTCTGGGCAAAACCAGCTATAATGTGTTATGTTCCAATATGACACAGGATACAAATGCTACTTCAGACTAGAATATACATATCATTCTCATTATAGATATTTATTATATTCTTCTTTAAATCAATATTATTTTTTATTAATCCCACAGAAGAAAGAAATGGCTACACTGTGGTGACGGAGTAGTCATTGGTAGGTCAACATCGGTCTGGCTGTTATCAGAAGCCATGTGACAGATGTTTGCAATAATTAGGTAGAATGAAAGTCTCTAGGCAGAGCTGCCATGAATATTCAATGGATGACCTTTGATCAGCACATAGGCATGCATACCATGAGAGCTTGTCTGTCTATGAGCCCAGAAGATACTGCTGGCACTGTTCTTATTTCAGTCTCTCAAAATCAACCAACCTGAGCCCTCCAAGATCCTTTGGCATCACCCCCATTGTAGCACCTGGACTCAAAAAATTGGGGTCTCAACATATCTGCTCAATTATAAATCTTACTTAAAGGAGAACTATGGGGGTCAGTGTTTTTCCCCATAGTTCTCCTTAGGGTAACGGGAGGACACAAACTAGCGTCCTCCCGTTACCCTCAGCTCAGTATACCGCGAGCTACAGCTCGCGGTATACTGAAACGCCGCAGCCGGAGTGGATCCCCGACTTAGACGTCGGGATCCGCCCAGCTGCGTGAGTGACAGCTGGCTCTGCCTATCTAGAGGCAGAGCCAGCTGTACCCGCCCCCTCCCCCGTCCATTCCGCCAGTCAGTGCTGGCAGATCGGAGCGGGGGAGAGGGGAATCCAGCCCCTCCCCCTGTCACGGCAGAGAGCCATGACACGATCGAGAGGTGAGCGAACACATACCGGTCTACTGAGCCGACCTGTGACAGTCTCATTGTCACAGGTCGGCTAGAACTATGAGGTGAGTGGAAATCACTTATCTCATAGTTCTCCTTTAATATCCTTTGGAGCAAAGTCTCTACTAACAAACGTGTCATGCTGGCTCTTGTATTGGCAATGAGGAGACGTAGACAGGTACTGCTGTACAGATTCTCCCCAAACTGCCTAAGTCACAACTGACAGAGAACTGGTTGTGTGCCAAGTCTTTTGGTCCCCTCCTCTCCTTATTATACTCTCCCTTTCCCTGGAACACTGCATATATGCTGCTAGCTCTGTGTAGCAAATAGCAGGCCGTGTTTTCTGTATATGGAGTCGACAATATATGAGTACAAAATCTGACTGCAAAACCCAGCTAGTTTTAAGTGTTACACGGTATAACTAGCAAGATGGGAAATATCTGGATCAGGGTAAGATCTCATCCTATCTCACAGGACCCAGACAACAATTGTAACCTGCCAAAACCATGGACCTAGACAACTTCTGTTCCCTCCAAGAGTCATGGGCCAAGATACATTTTATTACTTCTCAGAGCCTTAAACCCAGTGACAGTTTTCACCTCCCAGAGCCATGGGCCACACAACAGTTGTCACCACACAGAGCAATGATTGTCCAGACAACTGTTGTTACCTCAAAAAGACATGGGCCCAGTAACAGTTGTCAACTACTATAACCATGAGCCAAGATAACAATTGTTTACAAGGGCCCAGTAACAGTTGTCACCTTCCAGAGCCATGGACCTAGACAACTGCTGTTACCTCCAAAAGCCATTGGCCAAGATAAAAGTAATTACCTTCCAGAGCCAATGGCCCTGACAACAATTGTCACCTCCCGGTGCCATGGGCCCTGACAACAGCCGTTACCCTCCATTCATAACCAAAACAGTGACTCCTCCCCCTTCCCTCCCTGCTTTGTTTCTGTGCTAGATCAGGTTTAGTTACAGTGAGTCTAACGTTACACAATGTTGCTGAAACCCATATTATTCCAGAACATTACTACCATGGTGCACCCTGCATTGAATGGTCATATGTCAAAGAAATATTTGATAAAAACAGTACATGTATAAAACACTGCTCTCAGTAGAAGTCCAGCTAAAGAAAACACGTACCCGACCCTTGTAGTGGGAAGATCCCACAGGGGTTTTGATCTAGGGGGCTCAAATAAAGCACATACACTCACCTAATCCTGATGTGGTGGTCAGCTCTCACCTCTCTGGCTATGGAATGTCCCTTGGAGTCCCCACATCTAATGCAAATCAATGGACCTGCATAAGATGTGATAACATCAGTAGGCTTTAGACTGCTGCTGCCCGGGGGAGAGGAGAGGCTGCGTGGACCGCTCTAGCAGCCTGGAGGGACCCCGGGAAAGGGTGAGTAATACTGCTTTATTTGAGCCCCCTTAGACACAACGAGTACTTAACCCTTGCAGTGCAGGAGTAAACCCACTGCAAGAGTACATTTTCTGTTAGGCCGGGAGTTCTTCTTTAACCACTTGAAGACCGGGGTGTTACACTCCCTTCATGTCCAGACCATTTTTCAGTATTCAGCTCTGCAGGACTTTGACATTTCCGTCATGCAACGCAGTACAGACAGTCCCCGAGTTACAAACATCTGACTTACATACAACCCCTGCTTACAAACGGAGGCTATTACTGTACAGCAGGCGCCAGCCAAAGTGTACCGCGCAGCATTTCAGTAGTTGTAATGCTACCGCGCTCGTGCCGACGAGGAGTGCCCGCCTTTTTGAGTCTACAGGAAGTTGGCTCTTGTTAGACGTGCAGACGAGGGGTGCCCGCCTCTTCTTCCGGGTCACTGTGAGGTTTTTACTGATGTCTGTATCCTCATTAGAAAGATTTAATCTCACTTCCTGAGACAACAGGAAGTGAGAGGAAATCTACCTCTAGGAAGAGAAATTCACTCCTGTAAGAGTTATCCTGGGAAAAAGGTGTCTCCACTGAAGCTTTATCACCAATCCTTGTTTCCACGACAACCCACAATTTTCAAAATCCAATTGTCACAGGGACAGAAAGTGAGGTGAAATCTTCTGAGCAGGGGCATAGACAGCAAAACAAACGTTACAGGGGGTTAACCTCTCCCTATGCTATCCCAAACGGAAAAAAATTTTTAGGCTGGAGTTACACTTAAAGAATTTACCTGTTCCAACTTACTACAGACCCTATCTTATTCATAACCCGGGGGCTGCCTGTAATTAAATACATTTCAATTCATTGTTTTTGGGACAGACAGAGCTTTCTTTTGGTGGTATATAATCGCCACTAAGGTCTTTTACCCCCCCCCCAACCCCCCCCTTCCAGTAAAAATAACTAATGGACAAAAGAAAGCCATCCTTACCTGCAGTCGTCCCCTCCAGTGCTTATGACATACTTGTCATCATGCGAGAAGCGTACGTTAGTCACATGTGCTGAATGACCAAAGTACCGCTTATGTTTGGCCTGGAAAGAAAGCAAAATCACATTAGTCAGCAACTCATCTCTAACTGCTCAAGTCACAAAAAACAGAAACATGTGTCATGCTTACCTGTATTGTTCCTCTCCTGGTGCCCATATTACCTGCATGCTGCCATGAAGGCACCAGGAAAGCGTGCTTTCATTATCGTGCATTATTTGTATTGTTTAGGATTTATAATAAGAGCAAACATGAATTCACAATGATTGGGGAACCGATTATAAGTCCTTAACATGCCACCAGCTTCAGGTTGGTGATATGTGTGAGTTTCAATGAGGTTTTAATTGAGATCAGGAAAAGGAACCATTTGAGGTGAAGATAACATAAGTCTATGTGAGATTAAAAAAAAAATTCCCTTCAGCCGGTAAATGGGCGTTTCGTGTGACACAATAAAAGTTTACACACAGCTAGATGTCCATCACTGGAGCATGTAATCACACAACCTGTCAGGATCCAGAGCACTCCCAGGTGGCGCTGGAGCCAGGTCCTGCAGTTCCTGTGCTCGCCTGCGGGTGTCTCCAGCAGCCAGGAACTGTCAGGAACCTGCAGCTCCAGTACTCACCTGCGGGTGTGCACAGGCTGTGACTGATCATCCCATCACCTGGTACTTCCTGGGAGGGTATTTAAGCCCTCTCTGCAGTCAGGAAGCTGGCTCAGTATTGCGTCACCTGCCGCTGCCTGACTCCCCTGCTGCCTGACTCCCCTGCTGCCTGAGCCCTGCTGCCTGAGCCCTGCTGCCTGAGCCCTGCTGCCTGAACCCTGCTGCCTGAACCCTGCTGCCTGAACCCTGCTGCCTATCTGCAAACCTGTCACCTACCCGGCTTGTTACCCGACCACTCTCCTTGAATCCTGTTCCTGTACCGCACTGCCCTCCTGTTAACGACTCGGCTTGTACCTGACCACTCTTCCTGTATCCTGAGGCCTGCTGTCTATCTGCAGTCCTGTTACCCCTCCTTGTTGCTATTCCCACTGGCTGTAGGTGTGTGTTTGTCCCAACCGTGGTTTTTGTTACTTCACTGCTAAACATGTGGGGGGTTGAGGGGGTTTGTAGTTTTCTTTGATGTGTAACAAATAAACTGTGTGCATATAACCCTATCCTGTGTGGGCATATTAATTTGGTCATCCTGCGTGGGTACCTACATGTGGTGTGAGGATGCCTGTGCATGGTACCCTGACACAACCTTTGGTGCCCGAACCAACCCCCTTCTGCTGGGATCACCTTATACACAGAACATTTCTGCTTTTACTGGTCCTGACCTGGCTTAGTATAGTGTAACAATTTATAAATAAGTTTATAGAAGATATCTGTACTGATGACAGGGGGGTGGCTGAGTCCCCTCATTACCTATGTCACCAATCAGCACAAGCCTGCTGTGCCTAATCTAAATCTACATCTGCATCATTATACTTGTTTGTGAACTGAACATTCTAGGGGGAAGTTATCATGTATAAAAACAATGATTTGTAATCAAATAATTCATATTAGTATACTGAGTCTTATGTACTGAAAATGTAATGCAAACATGGATTATATACTAATTGAATTGCTGCCCGATTGCAGCCCCCATGATGGGTACATAAAGGAAAATAATTCAGGGCAGGCACAATCATTTTGCTCAGTGATCTTCAATCTGCTGAATCAACCAATGTCTTAAAGAGAATTGGCTGAGGAAGTAAATGAATGCAAATACACTGAGAAATAATATGCATTTAACCTCTGCTAAATAATATGCAGATTAGGGATTGGAGGTCCTCTGATACAAGGTTGTCATACAGTACATGACTGTGACAGTATTTTCTGCTGACACTAATTCGTAGCTCACCAGGAGTTATAGGACGCTGGGCATCCTCTACAGTGAGGAAGCCCAGCATATAACTAATTAGTAGCAAGGCTGAGGTAATATAATCAGCTTCAACACCGGCACACAATCCTTATGACAACAGAAATATTTCCTGAGCAAAGGAAGAGATTTTGTGTGCATTTAGCGGGTCTTTTCTGCCCGTGCGTGCCCGCTAGGGGGCGCGCGCGAGCAGAAAAAAATTGCCGTCTGGCGTTTTTTTACTACGGGCGGACGGCAAGAGGTTAAGAAGGTGAACATTGCATGAAATACTATGAACCTGAACTGCTTAGATTTGTTTCATAACTTAAATAGGCAATTTGCTGAGGTGGCCATGTTAGAATGAACTCATACTGGAGTTCTTTAATGACAAAATGTACAGTCATGGGAGGATCTCCCCCTTCGAGGACTGAGTTGGACAATGCTTGGAAACACTTTGTAAAGATTACAGCACTCGACTCTATTGGATTCCATGTATTCAGCATTTTATTTGTCTGCTATTAGATCCAAAGGACTGGTGGAATCTGGGATAGAGGTCATCAATTGCTGCGCAATAGCAGATCTCCGTCTGCTTGACAGCTGGTCACAGATGAATATTGTATGGTCACAGGTGAATATATGTCTCAGCCCAGACTTGCACAGGGTCCATTACTGGACTGAGGTCACCAGTCTCCATGCCAGCACAACAGCAGCAAAGAAGTCATAAACAGTACACATAGGGGTCCATTCACTAAGCTGCCGTAAGCAGCCGAGTGAATGACCGACTTACAGCGAAGTGAGCAGAGCGCTGTTCGGTTATTCACTTCAGGCTGGTATAGCTGATTTCAGCCGTATATCGGCTGAAATCAGCCGTACATCGGGTGGCTTTGCGTGGCTTCGAGTCGGCCGACCCATAGTGCAGAATGAGTTCAACTCAGCCGATCCAACATCTGGATCGGCTGAGCCGAACTTCCGGCAGGCTAGTCGGTGCTGTTCGGTCTATTCTTATAGATGCCGAACAGCAGTGAGTGAATAGCCGAATGCCACCGAGTGGCATTCTGCTCGGCTGTTCTGCTCGGTCTCTCTGTGGGACCGAGCAGAACAGAAAAATAGTTTAAAAAGTAGAAAAATGAAAATAGAAAATGATTGTGCAGAGCTAGCAATGACAGCTAGCTCCGCCCAACAGTTTTCTATTGGCCGGCTGTATTGCTGTCGTCAAAAAAAAAGAAGAAACATTTTTTTGGCCATAGTAATGCATTGTTAGATTCCTCTTGGATATTTCAATTTGCAATAGACAATAGCAAACTAGCTATTGTACCCGCCCTCTGCTGCTGTCAATCAGTAGTGGGGACCTGATGGAGAACTGCAGCAGAGGGCGGGTGCAATGCTAGTTTGCTATTGCAAATTGAAATAGCCAATAGGAATCTAGCAATGCATTCCTATGGCCAAATTTACATTTTTTTGTCTATTCTGACACGGCTCCGTGTCAGGATAAAAAAAAAAAGAAAAAGCGGTGTTTCTCTCCTGGGCGGCTGGGAGTGGGGGACTCCCGGAGATTTGGCCGAAGCTACGGCTAGATCCTTCAGCTGCCTCGTGAATAGACCCCATAGTATACAAAGTGATTACACATATAAATGGAGAGAGGAGATAGTTCAGAATGTAGTAATACTATAATCATTCTTTACTTACAAACTTTTCAGTGCAAGGAAAGTCAAAAAGTTTAACAAGGCCGAAGTCATCTCCTGTGGCGATGTTGAGACCAGCATGGGACACGCAGGCACAATTTACATCTGCTTTATCCGCATTTCGTGGCCAGATACCGATCACTTCATCTCCGAGGATGCTGCCAATAAACAAGATATCTATAAGAACACTACACACTCCTAGCTTTATCTCCAGACAATAATCCCTTATTCTCATTAGTTCAAGCAATAACAGGGAAGCCAATGATCACTTTCAGAAAAAGGAAAAAGAGAAACAACTAAAATGTCAGAACACTGTAAACTGATTACTCATATATAGGCCATTTGGTGGTTATAAACTCTAGGCACACTGGGGGGAATTTATCAAAACTGGGGCAGTTCAGTTTCTTGCTTCAGTTTGTTCAGTTAAGCTTTGATAATGAAAGATAGAAGCTGATTGGTTACTATGAGCAACAGCTTCAGATATTGTCTGCTCCAAATTTAGTAAACTCCCCTCATTGTCTGATATTTCTACTCATTGCTTGGCCATTCACATCAGTTCCTGACCCCAAAATGCTCATAATATAATGTTTACTCTGGAAGGGCCAACTTGGCAGGATACCAATTACCCTACCATGTGCAAACCCATGCAAATACAGCGAAAACACGCAAACTCTAGCAAATAGTGCCTATGGTAAGGATGATTTACTAAAAAGAAACAAACAAGCACATTTTGAGGGTATAATTGGAACACAGACTGCGTGTACGCACAAACGTGTATTTGCATGCATGATCGTGTTCTATCAACCTATCTAGCTGGTTGCACATTAATATTCAATGTGTCCAATGCGGTCCTTGTCTGCAATTCACATCAAACATTCAGTTCTACTTGTATGCTTCCTCTTCCTATAATGAGCACCACACAATGCACACACCAAAATGTAAAAATAAATTACCTAACATTTTATAAAAATATGACTAACTTGCTAAGCAATGAAAAGCACAAACATCAAGTTAAAATTACTCATACAAAGGCACAACATACATGATATCACTGGAATCTGTATCCCGGGCACTTGTATGTTCACTGGTTCTTGAACTTCTGAGCATGCATACAGAGATCTACACATGTGCAGTGCAATACTCCTCCTGTGTACAGTTCCTTCAGGCTTTATACATATTGAATGTTTTTTTAATAATACATTTATAGAATTTGGGGTTTGCGTAACATTGATGCACAATCATACGTGCATAGTCTTTAATAAATAAGGCCCAACATGTATATTTACCTTGTCCAGGTGGCCCAGGTAATCTTTTCTATAAGTGCTGGGTCTGTTATTTGCTTTCCTGATGGCACTTCATGGACTTGACGTTTGTAAGCACCAGTTGCAACCTGAAAATAAAAATGTGTCTATTTGCAATCTTTACAGAAAGGAGCATCAGAGCAGAAAAGTCTTCTTCTGCTGTGTCCTAGTGAGGAGACCATCATTACATGGAGGCCAAATATAGTATAGAAGCAATCTTGAATATGGCGTGTCATAGTAAGTCTATAATCTTTACACTGAGGCAAAACATAACATGCATTGAAAATGCATAACAATAACTTTTAAGAGTTACTTATGTGCCTCTCCGTCCCCCTACCTAATGGCCCAAAAAAGGGGGCAGGGTCAAAGCTGAAGTGCAGGTTCATCTACATGAGTGTGGCTGGGATTATGGCACACATGGTTTAGTTACATGTCAAGTAAATTTTTTAGCTAGCAGTAGTTGGCCACTTACAGGTGGACTTGTAATGTTCAAGATGTTATTTCCCCAGTTAAATGAGTGTCAAGGACATACCCAATAATTTATACCCACCTGGGTAGCTTAGTCACCATACCGCAGAACTTAAGTCCCCCAAAAAATTATGATTTTTTTGCAAGAAGAGACATGCAAAGTCCCTTGTGCCAAAACCCCTTTTCCCTGGTAAGTTTTTATTTCTGTGTATGGACTGTATAGAGCATACCCATGCAATGTACAGACCACTGAAAAGCCTTGTATAAGGTAAGATGACCTGGATCAGCAGTTTTTACTGCCAGCAATGTAGCTACAGCTCATCTTGCTTATATGCAAGGCTCTTCAGTGGACGTAGTCCAGATCTAACAATGAGACTACGCTTAAGCCCTAAGTCAGGAGGAGACTACATGCCTCAAAGTGTGTTGGCTGTATACTATGTTCCTAATTAATAAAGACTATAAAACTAATCCCAAAGTCATATGACTGTATGTACAGGGTGCTCCTCATCACATGACCAAACAGTCTTTTATATATTTCATACCTGAATATATTTACTGTCAGCAGAATAGTCCATCTGTATGACAAAGCTGGCAATGTCTTTGCAGTAACCAATTCTGTTTAATGATGAACCTTGTGTGATATCATAAAAATCAACCGTGTTTTCTGCAGAGCCCACTGCCAGATATTTGTTATCAGGACTGAACCTGGAAAGGAAGGAAACAAGTTAGTATAAAGGTACCATGGGCCTTACATTTTCATAAGACAGAAGACTGACATTATACACATTTTCAGAGCTTTTTGGTGTGTACTCTTCCAAAAATGCCTATTCCCATACCATGGAGGAGAAAGGACTATTATAATACAGAAGCCCTGTAGTGGGGGGAGTTACTTCCTGATTAATATTTGGTGCTGCCTCCAAAAGACTAGTTGATTCTAAGGGGGATGGTCACTCTGCAAGGCTAGAGCCATAAGAATTAGTTTTTACCAACATAAGGACTGGATCTCAGAAGAACACTTCCTGAATATGATGTGCCATGAATGCCCCTCTTGGCTCTCACTAGAGGTGCGCATACATACCTGTATTAGGGTCCTAGACCCTCCGTTACAGCTGAATCCTGAGCCATCCAGTGTTGAAGTCCACTACTCAGTCCCACCCCCCATACTATTGCTAAGGTAGGCTGCCCAATAAGAATGATTAGGAAGAGGTGGGCAAGTTTCTATACTACCAGGAAGAGCCAAAGCCTTGCCCATTATAATGGGTCACTATTTGGCCACAGTGGCAGGGTTCTGGAGGCTACAGCAGGCACGTGTAGGAGGGGGTGGGCAAGCTTCTACATTACCAGGAATTGGTAGGGTCCTGGAGGCTTTATGTGCAGGCACCTCTACGCACCTGCACTTAAGAACTGACAGCTATTTTTTAAAGCAGAGATACTTTAAGTACCAGAAACAGCATAATTGTTCTCTGGGAGGAGTACTGATAAAACACATCATTCCACACCTGACATCTTGAATGGCACCTTTGCGGTCTCTCTTTTTGCCCCACATCTTTAGAGAGTTTACAAGCAGGATGACAAACTCTCCATTCTTCATGCCGATGGTAACCATTTCTCCGTTGGGGCTGTAAGCAGCGCAGCATGCGGCGTGACCCAAACTTACTTTGTTCAGGAGCTTCTGTAGAACACAAGGTTCAGACACAATCATTAATTATTCAGCAACATATAGAAGGCGAAGTCTTGTATGTAGATTTGTCAGTGCATGTTATACAGTGCTCACTTTATCAGCCAGATCCCATATCCTCGCTGTTCCATCATTGCTGGCAGTAAGGAAGATATCTTTGGAGGGATGTGTTGCCAGACCCCAAATCTCTCCTTCCACATGGCCGTTAATGAGGATGTTAGAAGCAGCATTCTTTTCTCCCACTTCAATGATTTCTCCATTTTTGGTTCCTACCAACACTTTCCCCTGTAAACATATGTAACGGGTGTTAACACAGGGACACAATGCTGGAGAATGATTGTGCTCTGAAAGCAATGAAGACATGCAGTACCTTCCCTCTGCATACTGATCGTACACAGTCCAGTGTCTGTCCTGTCTCCAGCTGAAATGCCCGACATCGTTTCATCTCCTGATCCCAGAGCTTGACAGCACCACCTTCCTTTGTACTATATACAAATACATTAAATAAAGCTTACAATTAGATGAGAGGTGGCATTTGAATCCACATACTGGAGTGAATTTAAAAAAATAACATTGTTTTCCAATACTCAAATGAAGAACCTTAAAACACACATACTCACCTTTCTTATGCTCCTCGTTGCTCTGTTCAGCCATGAGGGGTGCAGAAAATAACCAGCACTTTGAGGTGTGGAGTAGCTGGTGAAGTATACCCCTACTTATGTGACAGCACTGGTGCTTGGCCCAGCATCATCACATTGGGGCTGGGACAGTCCTTAGTCCTGTGTAAGCTCTGAATAAAGCTTATATGATGCATTCTTTTCTTTTTAGCTGAACAGAGCAGTGGAGAATAAAGGAAAGGTGACTATGTGCAGCGGAGAGGGGTATTAAAGCAAACCTGTTACTTTCCCCACATTAGTAAAGCACAGATTTGCTTTAACCAGAGAAAAGCTGGATGCTCTAGAGGTTAAGAGATTGTGGGAGAGCGTGTGAGAATGAAAATATCATAGAAGAGTGACTGGTCTATATCTACAGTAGTATTATGGAGGATAAACAGAGGTAGCATCCAAGGTGGTTAAGTACTGTAATCCTCCCATAGCACAGCCACAGCTTGACATTCCGTAAACTGAAATCTTCTCATCATTGCTCATGGTTTCTAGAAGCCTATAAGCCATATGCAATGATGTCATTGTGATCTGTGTGATGAATGAGTGGATTTCGTATTAGTAGTGGCATTAGCAAAAGGCTAAGCCCGATTGTCAGGGGTTGGTACTGTTTCTCCATTTGTGAGCCCCACAGTTCCAATTCCAATCCTGAAAACATATTCATGCATCTCAGTTATAGATATCACTAAGGCTGCAGTAGCCACACTTACGGCCTCTCTTTCCCACCAGTTACAATCAGTCCATCGCGTAGAGTTGTGTACATTGTGAAGACTGGGCCAGTGTGGGCTTTGGCCACCAGTCGTATAAGAAAGTGGTCTTTCCAGACATATACATCTCCATTGATGGCACCGGTGAAAGTTAGGCTATTCTGCAGAGACACAAGTTCATATATTTTCTAGTTAGTATGCCTCTAGTCTATGATAAATATGATAAATGATAAATATGATAAATATAATGTACAGTGCTTCATGGCCACATAATTCTATGCAATAAAGGAGAACGCTAATTCACATTAAAGGAGGAATCACCAATAATCTTACATGATATACAATTATGTCTACTTGCTATTTATATTTGACTGTGAGCTTGAGTAGTTCAGCTGGTTCAGGTGATCATTTCACAACTTTGCAACTAACTGGCACTCCGAATCTCGTAGAAAGGGGGGACCAAACAGGTTAAGAACAGGTTAAAATAGGAGTTTTATGTTATACCTTAAAGAAGAACTCCAGGATTTATTAAAATGAGGTGCCTGTTTTGGTGAAACCAAAGGGGTGATCCTTGGTTCCTTGATCCCACTTGACTGCTAGAAGGGGCATGCAGCCTCTTCTCCCCTGCTCCATTGGTCTAGGGACCTTTGACGTCATCATGTCTAATGCAGGTCCATTAAATGTGAGGACGCTGAGGGGCATACCACAGCCAGAGTGGAGGAAGAAAGGTGGACAGTCACTGCTGCAGGACCGAGGATCAGGTAAGTGTATCCTCTTTATTTTCGCTCCTAGACCAAAATGAGCACCTAAACACTGCAGTGTGAGAGTAGCCCTACTGCAAGGGTTAATTTGAAAAACAAAACCTGGAGCACTTCTTTACAAATAAGGAAGACTTCAGGTAATCATATAAAACCATATAACATAGAAATCATTACAGTAATGGGTTTGTTTGAAATGTAAGAATATTTTAGTATCACACTTACAGCACCGAAGGCAATAGAAAGCATGGTCTGCATTTTGGCATTGTCCACAGATCCCACAATCCCTTTCTTATACAGTAATGTGCTCCCCGCCAGCGTCCAAAACTTGATGTGTTTTACTCCGACAGATACAAATTGTGTGTCTGAGTCTGGACGGAAATCAGCTAGAAATATTCTCTCCATATGGCCTCCTTTACTGGCGACTTTGGCACCTGGGAAACATGAAAGGCAACTTTAAATACAACAGTGTACAATAAAAGAAAACATAACACAAAAAATGAATCCATGTACAATGGATATGTATGGCCAGCATAAGATGGACACTTACCTTCCTGCCATCTCCACACAGTTATGGTGTGTTCTGGATCGACTCCCACTGACAAGAGCAGCTTTCCAGTGGCACTAAAATTAATGTATCCGACCCCCTTGGCATGGAAACACCGCAGAATGGACAGAGTCTGCTTGTTCATGGCATCCCAGATATGAATGGAAGGTGTAGCCCCTGCATAGAAGAAATCCACAGCGGTCAACCACTAACAAGCAAACCCGAGTGGCTCTCAGTTCATAAACATTAGGTAATAAGCCAGAGATACTGGCATCTAACCATGTAGAGATCAGACATATGCATGACTTATTATGAACAACTATGGTGAAACCTATTATAATCTAGAAACCGTATGGGGTTACAACGTGTAGTGATTGTACAGTATAAGAATGCCTTAATTTTTTCACTTTTTAAGGGCTAGTTTCCACCAGCCTGCACGTCTATCACAATGTCCCGTGCCCAGAACACAAGGAGACTTTATATATGCAATCACTTGCGTTCCGGGCATGGGATATTGCGGTAGACGCGCGGGCTGGTGGAAACAAGCCCTTATTCATATTTTTCCAGATTAACATGCAGACCAAGCTGTCCAGAAAAAGTGCAGGAACAGGGCTAGGACAGATTTTAGGGTTGTCACCAGAACAAGAGGTAAGGGAGAATCTTCTGAAATGTGATTTACCCTCACTTTGGGAGATATACATAAACTTTCTGTTGCATCTCTGGGACAGCAAGTCCCAGAGGATGTAGTGGCTCTACATAAACCTAAGGAAAAAGAAATGTTGCTGCATTTGCCCAAGCACCACGTGCAATGTTATTTGGCCCAATCACTGTCACTGGACAGCTTGTCTTTTATGTAAATATGAAAAAATGTAAATAAAAAGGCATGTGTAATAGAAAAAGTAATTCATATATTGAAAACTATCATTCAGAAAAGGACAGAAGTTTGCCTTCGTCCAGGCCTGTTCTACCTCTCTACCTCCTGCCCTCTGCCACAGCTACAGCTCTGAGCATTCTGATTTGAAGGGGGCTCCTTATGTGAAGGGGAAACTCCATTTTGTTTTTTAGTGGGATCCCCCTTTAAAATGCATACCAAACCCCTTATTTGGATAAAGATCTGGTATGCATTGCAGAGGGGCCACATGTCGTTTTTTTACATTTAAGTTTTTTACATTTTAGACTGGGGTGCCTCGAGATTTTGCATACTTGTAAAGGATGACATGACAGAAAAAAAGATTACGAAAATAGGTTTTCAAGAAGCTGCATGTACTATGACATAAGGGCTCGTTCACACGGTGTGCAGTGACCTGAATTGTTCTTGTGCACATCATCAAGGCACACAGAAAACTATTTTTCACACTGCATTGCTGACTTGAGGTGGGTTGCAGTTAGGGATGCACCAATACCGATACTAGTATCCGTTCCAGAGTATTTGGGTGAGTACTCGCCCGCCCAAATGCTCCAATACTTACCCCCAATACCGGAACTTCTGGTCAGAGGGAGACTTCTTCTGACTGGCAGTGCCGCGAGGGAACATGGAGCCGGCTTCCCTGCCAATCGCTATTTGGCCATTAAGAAAGCACAGCAATGCAGGTGGAATGCGCAGAGTGGCGCCCCCTTATAGCAGGGTGCAGTATTTACCAGCCTCTCACTGGCAGCCCTCCTGTGCATCTCTGGATTCTGGTCCATTGTGACGTCACTGGCCAGATCCCAACCAGCAGACTGCACAGGCGTCCAGAGCTCTCCGCCTGTGGATCGCAGAACCCAGACGTTCTGTGAAATGCAAAGCCAGGAACTCTGACAGAGCCATCCCCTTCCGGCCAAACAGCAGACTCAGTGCTGATTGGCCCCATAGACTTATACATGGGAGCGCCAGAATTGTTTTTCAAGCGATTTTTGGACATGCCTAGGTATGAATTGGGCCTGAAATCAGGTTTCAGTCAATTGTGAACAGCTTAAAAACACCTGCTGGCTGTTTACATTGGAATCCTCATAGGCTGCGGCTTGGGTCAGAGGCCTGCAACCATAATTGTGTGCTGGCACACATAGAATTAAGGCCGCATATTGATTTTGAATGGGCTGTCAACTTACCACAATGTGTGAAGAAACACACCTGAACTATTTTTGGCAACACATCGCACCAAGACACACATTCGTATTCACATCTGTGTGTGCAGGGGTGCTATTGTGCTTAGATATGTTACTTTACATATGTGTTTAGGTGCCATGCAAAGTGAATGGCAGCGCACTGAAACACACATATACCCGCGCATTAATGTGTGTTGTTGTGCGCAATGTAAAACAAGCATTTTACTGCACGTCACCACAGTACAGTAGTATGAATGAACCCTTAATATTTGCTTGTAATTGCTAAGCTAAAAAGCATCAGCTTCCGCAAGTGTTTGAAAAGCAGGTTTATTGAATCCTTCAACGCTTTCTTTAGTTTCAGGTGTGTTTTATCTTCTTACAGAAGACGATGCTCTTTGGATTAGTGTTTGCAAACATGAAATAATGGCCATGTGTTTAAGGACATAATTGAAGATACCCTGCAGAGCTCATTTCATATAAATGTAGAGTTGTACTTATTATAATGGGCTAGTGTCCATTAGCACAGCGAGATAAGAGACGGCATCATGAAAGCATAACATTGTTCTTTGTATTTTTCCTATCTGTAGTCACCTCAGGACACTTGCGCAGCAGACATTATGGGGGAGAGGCTTATGGTTGACAAGACTCTCTGCTGCTTAATTAATATGTACTCATTCAATACAGGCTTGTGTTTGGTAGACTATACATCCAAAGTATATCCTGCTGCACTCCTTATCGGAAACCCCAAGAGGTGGGTGCTGAAATGACTCGAGATGGCACCGCTGGGATCAATGTATAAGCACACCAAAGAAATTGGACGGGTGATCATCCTTTATTGATGTTAATTGTCACAAAGAAGCAACGTTTCGCAACGCTTCATCAGGCTCAATATGACTGAGTCTGATGAAAGGGACCCTGTCTTATGGTAGCTCTGTAAATGAAACAGCCATCTTGTTGCTTTATATATCATATTCAAACATTCATCATGTAATGTAGTATGGGTGGAGTCTGAAAAAAGTGTGCCACCATTAATGGTACCTAAGGCAGCATGATACCAAAAACAACTTGCCTAAATGCATGTAAAATTCACAGGTATGGTCAATGTCACAAATACACATTTATACACATTCACACACAACATATATCTTTAGTTACAATAATCTGTGAGCATGGGCCCTTATAGCAAGTATAGAAATCTACACATACAGATCTTTTGTTACCACAAGAAAACACAGATTGAAACAATACAGGTCAAATAATTACTATACAAGTCTAAACTGACACACTACAAGCTTGTGATAACAGGACTTGTTTGTATTATGAGGAATGACTCAAGTCTAGAGTAACTATGGGCATCCCATTGCCTTCTAACTTGGAAACTTAGTCCCAGGATACCTTGGCAGCCTATTGGGACCTGTCCTTACTCAACAGTTGCCCAAAGCCAATCTAGTGATAATGTGAAAGACATGGGGGACATTGTGCATGGATACTGCCATACAGAGACTTGAACATGGTGGATGTGTACCGGAGCCTGGTACAGCTACAGACAACATGGATGGACTAAAGAGGACCTGTAACTAGTACTACACGACAGTTATGGGAAACCTTACCTGAGTACTCAGCAATTTCACCTGCGTTGTGAGAGCAATGGCAAATGGGGAAGCGTCAGGGATAACCAACAACTGAAATAAGTAGTATTTCTAATGCCGAGGCAAGCTAGATTAGCATTAGACGCATGCAAACACAAAATGTTTAACGTATGAGAATGACAGGAAAAGAAATAGATATAGAACTATTGCTTAGTAAATATAGGTATATAACACCGATTTTATTACAAATACTTGTGCCTAGCATCCTTTTTATTTTAATTACAATTTCTTATCACACATATAAATACATGTGTTGCTGAACATTTAATTTGGTTGTGACTTTTTAATATAATTAAATGTATTTCAATATTTTATTAAACATCATTCAAATGTTAGGGTATGTAAATAAAATAAAAGCTAAATGTCTCTAGCGCTAGGTCACCTATGTTCTCATGAGATGTGATCACTAATTCAAGTCCAAAGACCACTTTTGGTTGCGCATTTTTGATATTATTCTTATGTGCTTACTAGTTATGTCATTTTTTTACCTTTGACTTTCTGCAGTTGTCATAAAACCATTCATTTTGAAAAATCTTAATGTATAGAAAGAATAGTTTTTCTATTGTGTAAGCCCAGTGTACTTTATATAATCCAGTGTGAATCAAAAATTAAACCGTTAAAATAAAGAAAAAAACACTAATCACCTCTTCTAATGCAACTATAGAAAGGTGAGTGGGGGATATACACTGCCAGCAGTTGTGTGTGTGTAGCTTGATGCAGTTACATGAATGACACCACACTCTAACTTTGTTTATCTTGCATCAGAAAGGGATGTCCGGTGGGAAGGCGATGGCAGATGACGCAAGAGGTTGTAACAAAGTTAATAATGGATTAGCTCTGAACACAGTCCTCTAGCTACTGACATCAACTACCTTCCTTTTAAAGATGCAACAAACATTTCCCAGTTGAAGGATGCAGTGGTAAAGCTCACAATGTATTATCGGTTTGTTTTAAGACTAAATACGTTAATAGTTATATAAAACTGTGATTTATGTTCTGTTAAAGTGTATTTGAATTCACAAAGTGAGTATTTTTACATTCCTTCTTAAAAACAGCAGTGCACGTCCTAACTGTGCTTAGGCATTGCTGTTCTCCCACTGTGCTGCTCAATGTTCGCTTTGCTGGAGAGGAAGCTGTACCTGAGGACCTGCAGAGAAAGGATCCCCCTGCCTTTGCCTTGATTTATTCTGTAGATCATTGGTTTCTGATTCTCCCCTGCAGCTTCCTGAATATTTCTGACCCAGTCATCACCTGTCATGGTGGGGGGGACAGCTCATGGCAAAGCCATGAACCGAGATGGCTGCTTCCACACAGAGACACGATGCAGAACAAGCCATGTTAAGTCAATAATAGGGAAATCATTATCAGCTATAAAGAGCCTACAGGCAATGCTGGTTAATAGTAATTTCACTTCTGTTTGTTTGTGCGCACAGTCCCCACAGCACAGGTACTCTTTAAAATATTTTCTATGTAAAGTTTACATCTGTGAATGGCTGGATCAACTCATACAGCTGCGCTGCTGCATAACAGATGTTAACAGCTCTCATTTATAGGGACTCTTATACCAGACGCAAGTAACATCATCAGAGCCATAAAAACAGAGCAGTCCCTTACACACTACGACTGCCCTGAAGGTGTGCTTGTATTGCCCAAATACCATGTTATTGTTTATGGAAGAAGAAAGTGGAAGCGCTGCCAGCAATCCCTATGCTGGTCTTCTTTCCTTACGGTAAGCAACCAATCAGATGACAAATTCAGTCCACCCAGCTGACAAATCGGCCAGTGACAGCAACTGGTTGCCATAGCCAAATGATCACTATGACCCAATCCTACCAATAAAAATCTTGTGTGGGTACTGTAATAAATAACACTGCAACCCCAAAGTATACGAGTCAAAATATTGCCTTATAATTCTTTGGTTGCATATGTAGTGAAACCAATTTATAACTTGTCATTTGTAGTAGAGATGTTTATTATGAAAGAAATGTGTAACTAAAAATGGTACAAATAGTATCCTCTCATCCTCCAGTGCCACTGCAGAATTTCAAAAATAGTATTAATGCAATTACATAATAATGAAAATGATAACTGAATTACAAGAATATCACAAAGAAAAAAAAAGGAAGCCATAAAGAATTATCACAAAACAATTTTCATGTGCTCTAAAATATGCTGTCATAATCAATGCAAATAAAGATCTGTCAATGGCAGGCTTGTTCAGTGCTGGCCCACAGACTGGGAAAAGCTCTGTTGCTCCTATATAGCACACCATAGTACTAGGCATCTACTATTATAGTACTATAGACTGCAATGTCATGTCAGAATGGACATTAGGTGGACGCCATTGCAGATGTCAGTCTTTTATTACACTGAATGATATGTAAATATTTCATTAGCACATCCTGCAGTAATACTGTCTGAAGATGATGTAACACACATTACTCTCATCCCTTACCAATTTGTCCAGTTGCAACAACATTCTTGTACTTTGGATGTTGATTGACAGTCAGGCAGAGAATATCATCAGTGTGTTCCAAATAGAAGCTCTGACTTCCTAATGCAAGAAAAAACATAAAGTTGTCAGGATTAGAATCTGTGCTGCTCACAAGAAAATGAATTATTCTAGTAATAATTATACATGCATAATCAACAAAGCTGAAGAAAGGCAAATGTTCACTATGACTACTTATACACTGATGGGTATTGCCTAATGAAAAAGGTTTTGGACCCATTCATGGTGTAACTGCTGTTTTGTTTCCCCGACATACAATTCTGAGCACTCCTCACTTCACTGGACTGTATACACAATGTTGTTTATCTTGTGTTTAGGCGTCAGCTTAATAACATCTGCTAGCTCCAATCATGCAAATGCAATAATCACCTTACCTCCATGAGGTCTCTGACCCCATGCTGGTTATGATTAACAGATTATGTTGATTGGAGCATCATTCACCATATATATTCCCAGATAATTTTTTTCAAGTAATTCTGAATTTAGAAAGCTAGTCGGATAACCAGTGAAACATCTTCAAGAAAAATAAAGCTATACCATGACCTGGATGAATGAGACTCTTCACAGACATATGTCAATTCTATCAGTTTATCACTGAATGACCAAGTACAGCCTCTAGTTCCCTTAATCTCCTCCTTCATAAAATTATGTATATTACCACAGTACAGTTTAGTATACATAATAGGGTGTGGTTTATTCTACAGAGGGGCCAAAGTGATCATCAGTAGAAGGGAGAGTCCTTCTCTGTCCTTGTCCTTTAATTCCCTGTGCAGCGGTTACATGTCCAAGCATACTTAGTATAAGTAATTGGCCCTGTTGATAAGGGTGTGGTTGCAGTATGTTCATGACAAATGCTTGTACATTTTGAGCATAATATGCCAGGTCAAAATATGATGAACAATATGTGATGATACCATGCAGAACATGACATTTTTCTATTGGAATTGTTTAACCATACCTGCAGAAATGTTCTGTACAATGCAAGCAGCAGCTGTGTGATAGATAATATCAGTACCTTCACCGAGGTAATGGAGGTTGTTACGACAATCAAAGCCCCTGTAGCCAAACACATGCTCCAGAGAGAGCTCCTGCAATATAATACAAGACAGCGGTTTACAGAAAGTGTGAAGGTAAACTATAGAAATACTCTTTCTATACCAGTTCTTCCTGAGTGATTTAATGCTGTTCACAGGCCAGCTAAGAAAGTGAGGTCTGCCAAGGTGTTTCTTGTCCCTGGGCTTGGGTCTGGATGGAGCTTGCTGAACCCTTCCACCACAACTGCTCAACTAGCGCTTCTCTGAAAACAGTTTGTTACATTCAAGTATCATATGTAGCACAGTAACATATCTAATAAGCCTATGGTCTCAGCACTGTATCCCCTCTCCCACCCCCTTAACTCTAACTCATACCATTCTGATCTTGTTAGCTACAAATCATTCTGGCTAATGAACATCTACTTCCTATCAGGGGGATAGTGTGATAATAATTTCCATCTTATTATTAGGGATACCATTATTAATTACTGAGTTTACATATGATAAATTCCCTTAGTGGGCTTGTTCGCGACGCACACCAGGGGTCCAAAACGGAAACATTAATTTATTAGAAGAAGGGAAGAAGAGAAAATAAAAGGAGGAAAAGAGAAAAGGGACAGAGGAATAGACTCCTGAGCTTCGGATTTCTTAGTCAGTATTTAGCCTGGGTTAGCTGACGATGTGCAAGGAGGGTTCTTTAGTTTGTGTCCTCCCGTTACCCTAAGGAGAACTATGGGGAAAAGCCCTGACCCCATAGTTCTCCTTTAAGGTATCTGTCTTGTAAGATACTATATGGCTTCTCATGTGTCATGATCCAATTTAGTTTAGATAGTACCGGCTTTCCAGGACCGAGCTATTGATATCTTGGCTGCTAAGAAAAAGAAGGATAATAATTTGCCCTGCACCTTAGGGATCCCCATAACTGGTTTATTCAATAGCAAATGCTGGGGGTCACTCGGAACATGCACCTGAAGAATTCTAAAGAGCAAAGCAAAAAAACGATTCCAGAAGGAACGCAGTTTTGGACATTGCCACCAGACATGGATCATCGTGCCCTGCTGGTTACATCCTCTAAAACATAAAGGGCTAGACCCTGGAAACATGGTGGCTATCCTTGCTGGAACCAGGTACCATCTAGAGAAGACTTTGTAGTTGGCTACTAATAGGGAAACATTAAGCAACCCCATAGTTAATCTCATGGTACACTGTTTCCATTCATCTGTAGAGAGGACTTCCCTTAGCACAGATTCCCAAGCGTCCATATAGGACAATTTAGTAAATGGGCCAAGCTGAGCCAAGTAGATTATAGAGATCCCCCCTCCTAGACCGGTGGCTACTAGACATCATCTTTCGTAAATTGTCAACAACGGGATGCCAGCGTCAGGTATCTTTAATGACTGTAGAAAATGCTGAATTTGCCTGAATCTTAACGTTTCCGATTGTGGCATCTGGAGAATATTTTGGCAATAGGCCAGAGATATTGGTTTATGACCCTTAATTAAGTCTCCAATTCTGTACAGGCCTTTGTCGATCCACCATTGGAACGCTTTGGTTTGCAATACCGGTTGAAAATTCACATTATTGAACAATGGTGCCAGAGGAGAGTGAGGGGAAACGATGCCTTCCTTGCCTCACAGCCGATCCCACAGGGCCATAGAATGTGACAGGGTAGGGGCTATGATCGCCGGCCTTTGCCTAGAGGTCATCCATTTTAATACTTCGATAGGAGTGCCCCTAGCCGAGCCAATTTCTATTTTAGCCCAGTCTGGAGCAGCTGCACAGGAATATACAGAGGATAACTGTGACATCTGTGCAGCCCGGTAATACAAAAACAAATTAGATACCGCTAGACCCCCCTATACTCTAGATTTAAAAAGAATGGATTGCGAAATTCTGGGATGTTTATTGCCCCAAATAAAGTTCATGATAGACGTTTGCAATTTAGGGAGTTCAGCCCGTTGGATCGGAATTGGTAGAGTTCTAAAATAGTACAAAATTTTAGGGAGTAAGGTAATTTTAACTGAATGGATGCGGCCCATCCAGGAAAGGCTACAAGAGGACCATCTCCTCATATCTTCCCTGAGGAGTTTATAGAGTGGAGGGTAATTCACCGAATACAATTGAGTATAAGAGGGAGTGATTTTTACTCCAAGATACTGAAGGAAAGCACAGCGCCATTCAAATGGAAAGGATTTTTTAAGCCCCGACCACAGCTCAGGAGGGAGATTGATGTTTAATGCCACAGATTTAGAAGCATTGACTCAAAGACCCGATAACCCGGCAAATTCTGCCAAGTGTGCCATGATGTTGGGTAGTGAGACATGAGGGGAAGTTACAAAAAGCAGCATGTCATCTGCAAACAAAGCGCATTTATGATGTACTGCCTGGCATTCAATTCCTCTAATGTCTGGACTATCCCGGAGGACTATGGCCAGGGGTTCTAGCGCTATAGCGAATAAAAGTGGCGAGAGAGGGCACGCCTGTCTTGTACCTCTTCGAATTAAAATAGGGTCTGACAGGTATCCCTGAAACCGAATCTGAGCTGAGTATAGTACCTGAAATATGTGTAGGAAATGAGGCCCAAACCCCCACTTCTTTTAACAGTTGCTGCAAGTATTCCCAGGAAACAGAATCGAATGCTTTCTGTAAGTCCAAGGATAGCAAGATCCCTTTTTGTGCGGGGCCCCCATCCCATGGATTTCTAAGCAATGAGATAAGGTCTATGGCTCTTCTAACCTGATCCGGGCCCTGCCTTCCTGAAATAACGCCTACTTGATCTTGATTTATATAGTTGCCCAAAAAATAATTTAATCTGTTAGCATAGATTTTAGACAAGAATTTTATATCATTATTAATCAATTAGATCTGTCTGTAATTCAAGACTTCTCCTGGATCTTTATGGGGTTTAGGGATGACAATGATAAAGGCTCTATTTAAGTCAGGGTCAAGAGAGGCACCTAAGCGTAAGGAGTTATAGGAGGCTTCCATATGGGGTGCCAATGTCTCTACATGCTTTTTATAGTAGCTAATAGGGAAGCCATCTGGGCCTGGAGCTGAGGCCGATTTCGCCATTTTTATAGCCATTTTAATTTCTAACAGGGAGATAGGGGCTTCTAAGGTCTGTTTATGCTTTGATGATAAAACAGGGACTGAAAGGTCACTGAGAAATTTAGCAATCCGATCACGAGGTCTGGGTTTGGGCTTCGTATAGTGAGGAGTAACAATTATGAAACTCCTGGAGTATTTTTTTTGGATTCTGGGTATAAGTACCCGTTCTACATCTAATCTTAGGAATTGGAAAGTTGAGGAGACTAGGAGACAATTTAGTTGCCAATAATGTGCCTATTCGATCTTTATGTAAATACATTTTATTAGTCAACCAGCGGAGACTTTTTTCCGCTCTTGTGGTCAAAAGTAGGTTAAGCTCAGTTTGTATGCTCTCGATGTTATGGAGGAGGGAAGGCCAAGGAAGATGTTTATGTTGTTGAGTCAACTCTTTTAACTTTACTTCTAATTCTATTATTTAAAATATGGTCTATTCTTGCGTAAGTACCATGGACATAAGAAAAGTGTGTATAATCTCTTATTATAGGGTTCTGTTCTATAGGGTTCAAATATCGATTAGGGAATGGGTACGCAAAATTTTTGCCAAGGCTAATCCTGCGTTTGATGGTGTTTTTAACCTTGTAATATGGATTTGGTTCCCCCTTTACATTCTTCTGGGAAGGCTTTTCACATGACTTTGAAGTGGGTTGCAGGAATTAAGCCAATTCAGTCAAAAGAGGATTTGTGAGGTCAGGAAATGATGTTGGAAAGAAGACCAGGTTAGCAAATGGAATTCTAGTTCATGACAAAGGTTTTCTGTAGGGTTGGGGTCAGGTCTCTGTACAGGCTACTTAAGTACCTTCATATCAAACTCATCAAACCTTGTCTTTGTGGAGCTGACTCTGTGCATGAGGGTATAGTTATTCTAGAACAGAGCATAACTATGCCCCTGTGAACTGAGCAAACCCAGACTGTTAACACAAGGTTGGAAGTGAACGATCATCTATGCCAGGGCTCAAAATTTCCACTCGCCTGCTCGCATTTGGCGAGTAAAAATAAGGTGAGAGCGAGTAGAAATTTGGGTCTCCAAGTACCGGTCCGCGGAACAAATCCAGACCGTGTACCTGACTTGCGGTTGTGGGGGGGGGGTTAATAAGGGGGAGTATATTATTTTATGTGTGTGGGGGGGTTAATAAGGGGGGAGTATATTATGTTATGTGTGTGGGGGGTTAATAAGGGGGAGTGTGCGGGGGGGAATTTGATTATATTTGTTCGGGGGAATAACGCTGAGAAGTGTATTATTGTGCTTTAAGCTGGCCATACACCTTACAACCATCGCACGACTTTCGTTGTGCGATGGTTGTAAGGTCATTAAAATCTTGTACGATCTGCCCATCTTGCACAGGCAGATCGTACTTGCGATCATCGCAAGCCCGCCCCGCTGAGGGGAGGGCTTCCGATGATTGCAATGCTGAGCAGGCAGTGAGATAAAAGGCGTATATTTAAATCTATCTGGTGAAGAGACAAGAGACTGACAACAAGTCAGCCAATGGATGCGTACTGATTCATTCACAATTTTTATTTCTTGTGTTTGATCTGTTTTAAGGTTTTGGTTTGTTTTTTTACAATGCAAATCAGAACAGTCCTGTACAATGATACCTACTAAAGGTAAACACAATAATAAAACCTCTGTAGAATGTACACGATACTCACACCCAGTTATACATACCTCAACCACTTTCTTTTTCTTATTAATGTTGTTCTTCTGTAGCTTTTCTGGCTGAGGAGCTGCTCTGCTAACCGACGGTCTACAATTATATAAATGGACAACCAATCAAAGAAACTGTGGCAAATGAATCTCTTTTTTACAATTTATGTACACTATTCATTTTCTTTGCTGCTGTGTGGAATGAGACTTTGGAGCAATGTCAAAACAAGTTTCTGTGAGAGATACAATGGGACCTATTTGTCCATATTGACCATGTCTGGTTGCACACCAGAGGTGTCCAACTTTAATCCTCTAAGGCCACACACTGGCCAGGATTTCAGTATAAGCAGAGTCATTTTCTGACTTTTTGTAAACCATGTTTTACTTTATTTACTTATGTCTGTTAGAGAAATACTAAACCTTTGTTCAGATTGGGACTGAACAACCCATAAGGACTGGAGTTGGGTACCCATACATTAGATCAGGGGCGCCCACAATTTTTCGTCTGGAGATCTACTTTTCAAATGACAAGCTCAATGAGATCTACCAATGAAAAAACACCTGCATTCAGGTGGCTGCGGTGCCATTGACTTCAATGCCCTTCCACACCCCCTACCACCCCTGAACGCAGGGAGCCGGCCGTCTTGCATTCCAATGCGTTCTAGAGACTGAACACTCTCAAACGCAGACTTTGTGATGTGAACCGGCCCTCTCTTCTCTCTCTCCTCTCTCCCCTGTTTCTATCTGCTGTCTCTCCTCTTTCTCTGCTGTCTCTCTCCTGTCTCTTTTCTTACCTCCACTGCAGCAGCTTCCCAAGTCTCCTCTCCTCTCTCCTTCCCGTCTGCGGCGTCTGACACATTCAGCCGCACGAGCACCACGGGAGGACAGGACACAGGTCAGTGAGCTGATCGCGATCTACCAGTGTTCGCTTCGCGATCTACCTAATGGGCACCCCTGCATTAGATAATAAATTGTGTAAATATGCACTTCAGTTATCCAATCATGTGACAAGCAAATTCCGGTTTACTTATTACAACTGTACATGACAGGATAATTGAAGTGAATATTCACACAATTTATTGTGTAAAGATTCTGATATCCTTTACTAAATCAGCCCAATTGCATTTACTATTTCATTCAAAGCAACTTTCCAAAAAAAAAAAATACTTTAATTTAATTCTTGAACTGCTAATATTTAATTTTTTTTTTTACATTTTTTTTTATTTGTCTAGGGGGTATTCCATTAAATAAATAGAAACATTGGGAAAAAACTGCATTTAGTATATTTGTTAGAAACTCCTTAAAGCTATGAACCAAACACATAATTTTAGTCTTGTTATAAACAGAACAGGGTAGAATAAAATGTTATATTTTTAGCTATTGTTTTATAACTACGTTTATAAATAAGGTGTGTATTTTTGTCTATAGATTGCATAGAAAATAAAATAAAATTTCCAAGACAGTATTACCTAAAGACTTTGTTATCTTTAGTAATCACAAAGTTATCACCAGATAAACATGCCCATAGCAGCAATGTATGAATTGCTCTGGTCCATAAGGGAAATACAGGTGCCAGAGTTGAAGGAGTTAACGTTCACTAGAATATGACAGATGGAATGAGAGTGAATCGGGAAGAAACATTTTGGTTTAAACCTCCTTTTTTTTCAAACAGACATTTGATTAGCAATTGTATATTTTTTGCACATTTAAGAACTTTAAATGTTAACTTATACAATGAATAGTTATACTTCAATGTGAATGATGGCAATTATCACAATATATAACATTACCTTGATCCCCTTGTAAGCAGCAAATAAAACCAAGTGAAAAACTTAGTGAATGTTTGCTGAGGACACCTGAGCATGCGTTTCATGCACAAGCGAGGGTCAAATGAGCTTTGATTTGCTGTACAAATCAAATGAACGCATGCCAGCAACTTTCAGACACATTGGTGCATTGGTCTGAGAGGAAGAGAGAACCCACACTAGTCAATATAAATCATAATGACTAAAAGCCCAGAGGTACTAGAGAACATAAAACAATGGGGCCTATTTACTAGGCTTGAGTTGGTGTATAAGTTACAAATGGAACTATTTATATATTTCATTCCCAAGTTACTGTTTCCACAAAGAGTGCATCAGAATTTCACATTGATTACTGCATAAAGCTATAATAAAACTGCAAAAAAACACATCACCTGCAGAGGAAAACAAACTGTGTCTTAATATGATATTTCAATATAGTAGATGCCAGTGGATTACATACTGGCGTGCTATATCCGTAGGGGACATCAGTGCTGAGATATCCCCAGCTGAGCTCCATACTCTCCTCACATGCCAGGAACATTACAAGGGACTTGCTTTTTCACTCTATAGTTATTGTTTATCTTACATTATGAATTTGGATCAGCAAAATTGAGACTCCATAGTTGGGGTGGGCAAGCGCCCTGTTCTCTGGCTAGGATATATTGATGCTGGAGCCCTAATACATATCACAGGCCAGTGAGTGATCAAACTTCCCAGCCATAGCTGAAATACCAGTTTGAGTTGAAATGACCCTCTCACTGCTGTGATCTAATATGCTGAGCACAGAAACTTTAAGGCCTGGTTCACTCCTGGGCTTTTTACAGCGCGTTCCTACGCGCTGTAAAACGCTCAACATGTGAAAACTAATGATTGCCTATGGGCATGGTTCCCACCTGGGCGTTTTACAGCGCGTAGGAACGCGCTGCAAATCGTCCTACGCCCAAAGAAGTACAGGAGCTTCTTTGGGGCGTATTTGCCGCGCATATCCATTAGGATACAGCCGGATAGCCCTCAGAAACGCGCGTTTGTCGCGCGTTTCTTTTACCGCAAATCGCGGTAAAAACGTTCCAAGCACAGGTATGACTTCTAAAGACACACTGTACTTTCTTACATCAGAACTGGTGTACATGCGTTTTTTTCTACATTATGCCAAAGTATTATGCATGTCAAACTAAATACATTTACCATACAAATGTAAACAGTACACAACGTTCTGGAATACCCGTACCCATACATCTGTCAATAGATTAATAAATAAGCTATCACATGAAATATCATATGAACTTATTTCTGAGCTTGACAGGTAAGATAAGGCTTAGTATATAGGCCCCAATAAGCAAACGGCTTTTTAGAGCATGAGCCAGGGATACGGGAAAAGCACTACAAATATTCTGGGAACAAAGGGGTGGGGGGAGGGGGGCGGTTCTAGGTGCAGATACATTGCCAAGCATGTTGCTAGCTGAGCACAGTTTTGTCTGGCATATAGAAATATTTCCTATTATTTCTTGGAATCTATAACTTACAAAATATACTATATACCTGTATATGCTTTCATGTAAGCTTGTTCACCCTTACACTGGCCTTATATAATTAGGTATTATTTCAGTAATTGGTCACATGTAGCATATTCCAAAATAAAATGACAGCTCCCCCCAAAACATTTCCCCATTCTGGGTGAAGTCAGGTAGGATTTGATTCCCTTCATGGTCTTCGTTACAGTCTTTGAGCCCTGTAGAAAAAAGATCCTCACCCAAACCCATGCATGAACATAAAAGGCTAGCTTGGCTTTCCAGCAAGCTACTTGTGTCACTGATCAGTGTTTACCATATATTCTTATGGGAAGTCTACTAGAGAGAGCAGGATAAAACATTGCTCTCCCCAGCTGATTCTCCATAGCAAGAGTGGAGCTTTGCTCGGCCAATGGCAACACCAGGTTAGTCAAATGCCAAACTCAGCCTGTCAAAGTCAGGTTGGGGAAAGACCTCCTGTCTGGTGCCACAGATACTAGTAAAGACGATGTGGGGGATGAACCCTGCCTCATGCCACATTTACTGTGTACATGAACATGAGACCAAAGCAAAATCCAACCTACCAATTGACTGGAAAGTAGTAACACCAATCATACCTATAACTATCATAATCAAATGGTTCATCTGCTTCAGAATAATGCAGGATTAGACTAGCAAAATATGTATATGTGTAAAGTCAGACGTAGGCAGACCTGGCAGTCTGTTAATGTCTGCATGGCAAGTGTCCTGTATAAACATAAACTTTCTGCTGGCTCAAGTGTTCATTTTAATATCTATAGAGAGGAAGTGGGGAGTGATGACTTATCTCACAAGAGAAATTAACGATCAGACAAGAATGTGTAACCTTTTTGAATAATATTCACGCCAAGAAGTGTTAGCCCAAAGTTTTATCAGGCACCCACAGACAGATTTTACTAAAGGTAACTACCGTGTACAGTATGTATTATAGCATGATAGGCTCAATTTACATTGCACATTGTTGGGTGAACCTCATCAGTTAGAATTAATGGCAACGCAATGTACCAGCACACCTAACATGTGGTGCATTGTGCTGTGCAATAAGCATGCACTGATTGTATCCATACCGTGCTGTAATGTAAACTGACCTTTAAGGTCAGCTTCAGTTATAAGTATCTCAGATGTCACAAAAACAAGGCTTTGTGTATAAAATCACACTTACAATCAGCCATGTTATATTTTGCAATTTGTAATCCTGACACAATAATATAGAATGTCTATTTATCAAGTTCACATGAGACCAATAAATTGGTTGCTACAATTGAAGAACTCAACTTAAGACTGCTAGAGCCTACAAGCTCTGCAATACTCAAAGCAGTTCATTTAGGTCTGTGTTAGAGTACAGTTGTGATACGTTAAGTTCACACAGGATCAAATTGAAAAATATCACAACATAGTATAAAAAGGACTTCTTTTTATATTGGCAGACAAAAAATATATAACAATATCTTTAAACACGTGGGTAAAATGTAAGATATATTCTCTTTTCTAAAGAATTACTGTACAATATGTACTATGAAAATATAGGTCTGAAGAATCCAGTGTGAACCAAAATATACTGTAGATCAAGTTTTCCATCCCAAGCTAGTTCTCACTTCTGCTAGTGTGAGTTCTCCCTAGGGGTACTTCATCTCTAATGGACCCTTATAGACAAGTAGTTCCGTGTTGTCATTAGGCATACATTATGTGCAGGACTGAGCTTTGGTGGTAGGTGGCACAATGGTAAGAACATCTATTGTGATAAGTGAATATGTAATGATATCATATAAAAACTCTGCGCAGCTAGCCTGAAGCATGAAGCTAGCATGAAGCATTTACTATCCAGTAATGTGTTTATAAAGGCTAGGATGAATTTTTGAATGGCCTTTTTACAACTTGAGTTTTGGCAAGCTTCAGATGTGATTCTATGAACTTTAGTTGCATTAAAATGTTATAAAATCCACCAAAAAGTGATAAATAGTCACAAGTGGAGCCTGAAAAACTGACCCTTTGTCTTGAATTCCTCCTGGAAAATAGTGTGCACTTCCTAGTATGAGAGGGTGTCTAGGCACTCCTGTGCCTGCAACCTAATAGGTGTATATCTGTAGTGTGGGAGGAACTGTTTCTAGAGTGACTGCTAGTCTCATGAGATTTGGGGTGAGATTTTGTGATGTCCATAGTGCTGCTCACTGTTCTTCTTGCTGAAGGCTCTGACAGGAGAAAACAAAACTCTACCTCTTAAGGTGGATGTCTTCACATAGAGACAAAGTGCAGAACAAGGCATGGTACGTCAATAATTGGGAAGGATCAGCTTCAGGAATCCTACGAGCAACACTTGCGAATTGTCATTTGCCTGTCTTTTCTTTGGCACAGCTATAAGAGTACAGTTCCTCTTCAACATCTGTGTGTACGTATCCTAATTGTGCCAGGCACTGCAAATTCTGGGAGTTCATGTACAAGATTAATCACAGAGACACATCTACAGTAGACTAAAGGTGATGGATGGGCAAGCCACAGCTTCAGGAAGAGAACGACAGGTAAAGAGGTATCTTCCATGTGGTGGGTGGTCAGAATATGCAAAGCAGTTGCTGCCCTTGATGCTAGAGTGGGCCTTAGCAAAGCAAAATCAAAGCATCTATCATATACATGCGACTGCGGTTTTTGGACTTTGGGTTTACTTTTGTGAATAAATAACTTCTACCCGGTCACATTATCACTTTTACAAAATAGATAACCTGTAAAAGAAGCATTTATATACTTACCTTTCTAGTGGCTCATTTATTGAAATGAAGCTGTATATCTGCTCTCCAGGTGCTGCATGTATTCAACCATCGGATAAGGTAAATATTTACTCTCACATCCTGGCCGTTGTAGTTCCTCCTGCTGACTCGAATGTCCTGCAGTGACGTATGAGCAGGCTGGAGGAACCACAGCAGTCAAGCGTTTCTCTTACAAAGGGAAAAGCAATGTCACCATTGTATGTACTCCACCAGCTATGTCTTCTTGACAACTGAAACTTGCTTCTTCTAAAGCAGAGGCTGTGTAGGCTTGTCCTTCACTTTGAGAAAGGTTTCCAAGGCAAAAAAGTTTAAGTTTGGGCGATCACAATTGTAAGGATCTGTGGAGTGACATCCTCTACTGGACATCACAACCAACATAAATAAGTTTTCCACATAGTCAGTGAAAGCAAAAAAGAAAACTATTTGAAAATAACTTAAAGTGAATGGTTCAACCTGAAAGATGGGTATACAAATGTAGGAAATATGTAATGTTAGGGCACATTGTGCTTCTCTGGTTTAATAGTTTAGAGGCATTCAAATAAAAATCAATTCAGTGATTTGAAGTTAAGCCAATCGTAGTATTGTGGAAGCTTTTTAATGATACCAAGTTCTTCACCTTACAGGTGCCAAACCAATGTGCCTAGAGTTTATTGGGGTGAGTTCCAGAGTCATAGATTAGTAGATGTATGAGATGAATTATGTTTTACTAGGCACCACATATTTTTGGATCCAAGCCAATGAAACACTGAACTTTGAGATCCCAAAAATGTAATTCTGACACCTGGAACCAAAGCATGAAATAGGACTTAGCTTTCACTAATACAAATGCACATATGTATATTTCTATCCTGCTACTAAACAATAGTACAATAACAATTAGCAACAACTGATGGCCAGCATATGACAACAAAATCAACAACTTTATAATGTTGATGTATGACTGGTCAGCACATATCTAATGTAAATGTGTGAATAAAATAATGCATTTTGCTTGTTCATACTTACTTGACAATGCCCTGCCTCCAAAGGAAAGCAGATTAAAACACAATACAAATATTAACAGTTTCTTCCTCAAAATTAGATTTCACAGTATTGCCGCACACTAGTCTAATCATACAGAAGAAAGCCAAAAGAGGAGAAAAGAAAGCAGCTTACTGCTAGTATTTATAACATATTAGGAGTGTATATGCAGTGTTGCAGTTATCCATACCAACCAAGCAAATGTCAGCTCTTATTATGGTTTCTACAGTAATTGGATGTTTATGGATGAGAGTACTCTTCTGTCTTATTCAGCAGGATACTGCAAAAAGCAGAATAGCCTTTCAGTAACCCAAAGCAACCAATTAGCTTGCACCAACATTGTTTTTAGGACAATGAAAGACAAACTTTTATTGGCTTCTGTGGGTTACTAGTAGGGTTGCACAGATACCAAGTACAGTACTCGGTACAAATCCGAGTACATGTACCGATACTTTTGAGCTCCAAGACTAGACTAGAGAAAAATGCAAAAATTAGGAGGAAGCTGTCATTTGTAAGGAGCACACGGAGCTCCTGGGATTTGTACATCTCTGTTTTAATGTATGATTTTGTTTTTATAAATATAAATAAAGGGATGCACAGATACCAGTTTTGCGAGTACGAGTACTGGTACTTGCCGAGTACTTACAAGTACGAGTACTGATACATTTTTGTTTATTGTCATGTGACAGTTTTTCTAAAACAATACAGAGCAATGATTTCAGGACAGTGGTGGAGAGCCAGAGCCCGGTCCCAGCTGCAACCGCTGCAACCCTGGTAGTTCTCATGAAAATGTCAAGTATCTGCACTGGTACTCGAAAAGTATCTGTGCATCCCTAGTTACTACATATTGGTGGACTTATCAAGTTAAGGCTAATTAACTGAATATCATGGCTAATAAAGTACAAGGTGAAATGCATTGTACTTGCATAATCATTTGTATTTATCCTCTCCTGTGTAGCTTTTATTGCTTTGCATTCAACTATTTCATGACCTGAAGCAATCACCATTTCCTTGTATCTATATAACATGAATTCAGTGCTTGTATTACCAAAAATGATAATAATATAAAGCTCAATGTTTTTACTTAACATGCATGAAGCTTGGGAAGATGAGCGAGACACCACACCCGTAAGCTGGGAGTTCGATGTACACTCAGCTCCAATCCATGGGCAGAGATGTTGGGCCATGAACAGTGCAATGACCTTGCAGAGCTTTCAGAGTTGGGGCAGGGTGCGTATAACCATAGCATATTATTGCAAAACTAGCGTCGCAAGCATTGGTTTTGTTGTGGCCTGCTTACACTCCCAGTTTCAAAAAGACCAAAAGAAATGTGTTTATTGGTTATTATCTATACACAATTAGAGCATTTGCAAATCCAATTTTAAAAATATGGACTATGGTTTATTATATAATGAGACTACTGTCTATTGCTAAATTAATCTTTCTGTTATTTGGAGTGTCATAAGTAACAGAACATGTTGTGTGCTTTGGGTCTCCATCTTATTACAATTTGTACACTGTTCTATATAAGGGCTTCAGTGCCATGCTAGTAATTGCTCCATGAACCTGATGTACTGTGCTAAATCTGTTCACTATGTGATGAACACAGGGTCGTTTTCTAATTAGTGGAAAGCTAGTATAAGTACATAGATACGTGCTTTGCTATCTAGTGCATACTAATATAAAAAGGAAACTTTTTCCAATTCCTGTGCAAGTTGTGCATTACTACTGCTAGACCAAAACAGTAGAATTTTTAAACTATTTATTATGGCAAGCAGAATTCAATAGTAACCAACCTGAAATAATCTCTTACTAATGTGATTTTATAAAATTGAAATACGATTGGTTACTGTGGGCTTTTTTTATTGAAAATATATATCATTTTATATATTCATATTATATTTATATTTTCTGTTTTCACTGCTGCACTAAAACTGACCAAATGTAGATAAATTAGCCCTCTGACAATGGAAGAACAGAAATACATAATGAAGTACCTCAATAAGAGGATGCCAGACAGCAATTCTAATATTAGCAAAGCCCCAGTCTGTATGGCCTGATGGACCAAGATTCTGCAAAACTAACATTTTACAGGCAGTGGAATTCACTCATTATTTAAAGCCATACTAAAGAGCTTGTAAAGCCATTTTTACCTTAATAGACATAATTGATTAATATGGTATCCAATAACCACACAGACGGTACCAGAATAACTGGTTCCAGAATATCAGTGAAAGACCAGAATTACATACTGTAAGGTTTAGATGACCTATGCTCAGTTAATGCAAGGGCTTTGTTTTGTAACCTTTAGCATAACATGGGTCATGTGCAAGAAAAATGTGCAACCTCCTATGTGCAGCCAGTTCTATAGTAAGAATATTGGCCTAGTGGTAAATGTGCAGCTTCTAAAATGCTGGAGCCAAAGCTTTATAAAAAGTTAGTTGCCTGTGTTGGGGTGTGGGACCACGGTCAAAGCTTTTATTTTTGTATTTTATTTGTTTAGTTCTTATGCCTGTTTGTTGTTTTTGTTTCTATATACAAAACTCAATAAAAAGGGAAATAAAAGGTCAGTATTTACAATACAGAGCTGAAGCATGGCGCAGGAGTGCAGTTTGGGCATCTAGAATAGGGATTTAGTATAATGAGAAAAAAGATGATCTATTTGTTGGCACTCACACTCCCAGAGAAGAGCTTATTAAATCTTGGTCTATGGTCTATTGAAAAGGTCAGGGAAATAATAGCTTTTTCTTTCATTAAAATAAAAACCATAACACTGACTTAGGGAAGTTCCATCTCCCTCAGAAAAAGTGGATTAAGTTCGTTTGGGTGATGTAAATTACATGTAGAATTTTTAATGATGATTTAGGGAGAAGCCTATATAAATTAGGACATCTATCTTTCAATATATATTTTAACCTTTATTGAAATATGGTGACCATCAATGAAAAAATGCCCATCATTTATAAATAGACAAAAGAATATTAATAAATATTTCGCATGAAAAAAGGATGAAACAACTATTCTGAACCTTCATAAACAGACCTCTGTTTTTAACTTTCTATCCATGATTTTCTTTATTTCTGATTTCCATCCACACAATAGTAGCACATGTTTCTATCTTTAGAAATCTAGCAGTGCTTGTTTTCATATAACAGTAGTTGTCCATGAAAGGTGTTCTTCAAGCCAAGCTCCATTATTCTACAAATGATATTTAGCTTTTAATACGTTTTTATTACTTTAACCAATGTCCATGTCATGTTAAAGGTTTGATACTGAAATGTGGGGAACTGAAACAATCAGCTCTACATATGATAATTGTTAACTGTCTTGTACTGTACTTCTACCAGTTCTTGAAGTCCGTTGTCCCACAGCATACATTCTATGTCTAATGGAAGCTTTCAAACAATAAATAAGCTGAAAGTTTGTGTTGTGCATACTTGTCCCTCAAAAAGCAAAATTTCAAGACAGATATCTCAAATGTCTATACAAGCATAAGTGAACATGGCAAGTAATACATACCATTGGCAGAGCAGATTATTTCAGTTTCTCACATTCTTGTATCTTTTAGGGCCTGTGTTGATGGGCTTTAGGTTTGTGCTGATGGGATTAGTTTGAGGCACCTCTGAGATCATTCAGAATTCACTGACAGGAAAAATTGACCTGCAGTTGATCTCCTTCTGACTTGCATTCGACCTGCTTCAAGTGTGTTTGGCATCTCCATAAACTTGTATGGGAATGCAAAACCCACTTAAATCGAACAAATGTCCCTCAACAAAGGCCCTTTGGAATATACAGTCGCAATCTTGAAAAGGAACTAAAAGTTTCAATGCTCCATACTAACTATTCTGCTCTTCTGAAGTGGAACTGAACTCAAATAGTGAACATTTGCTATGTTATAGGGAACATCTAGAAGATCTCAGGTACTGCTGCCTCTAACTGCTTGTCTCAGGAGATTCGGAGTGAAATGTCACTAGTGCATTGGTCACTGTTGTTCTTGTTGGAGCCTCTAACTTGAGGAAGCAAAGTCCTTCCTCTACCAAGATGACCGCCAAACAGACACAGTGCAGAACAAGGCATGGTAAGTCAGAAATTGTGAAAAGATTATCTGAAGGGAGCCTACAGGCAATACTGGTTATTAGTACCTTGCCTTCTGCTTGCCTTTTTGGCACAGATTCCAGTGTTCAGTTTCTCTTTAAAAATGATAGAGGAGGTGCTGAAATATTTACCTTTCCTGCAGAAACTAGTGCATCAGGCTTCATCTAGTGCTGACCACATTACTGGATGCCCATACCTCTGATCACATCACTTCGGTAAGAGAGGACTGAAGTTCAGGCAGAGGTGCCGATTGGCTGATTTTACCTCAAGCCAGCACTTAGCATTTACTAACATGACCAGCACTAAAGGAAGCCCAGGGCACAATTTTCTGAATGGAAAGCATTTCCACACCTCTTTTATTAATAATTACTTTAAGGTGGCAAGATAATTAGGACAAGAGGAGGGGAATTCGCTCTAGACCAACTTTAAGATAAATTACATACAGTAATTTGTAGCAGTTTTGAAAGGAAATCCATACTAACAGAATATGGAGGCTGGCTATGGTAACCTCTCCTTCTGCAAATGCTTGTTGTCTAGCTGTACAATGGCTTACATACTTTCTGAAATACGTACAAAAATCAGGAATTTTGACTTAACATCTGCTGAAGGTTTGTTCCCTAAACAAAATCCTAATAGTGCCGGTATTTAGTTGCACAGACATAGACTTAACAAGAAAAATGGTTTGGAGTTTTGTAATACTAGATAAGCCCCTAAGACCACATCAAAACCCAGAGGAGGCAGTCCATTTATGTGCATCAGAAGCAATTATCTGCTTCATGGGTTCAAACTGCTTCATGGGTTCTCAACAGTCAAAGTGATGCTTTGAGTATGTAATGTGCATGCCTGCCTAACTTATCCACCCCCCCCCCCCTCTTCCCCCCACACACACACACACAATTGTGCAGATAGTGTGCAGAAAGAAGAGTTATCAGAAAAGGTTAATTTACATTGTCTAATCATATCCCCAACAAGTTAGTTGGCCAGCAATTTCTGGAAATGTCACAGATATAAGAGAGTAAAAGACCAACATGTGTTTAGGGGTACCTTAAGGGTGATGTAATGTATTATCTGTCACTTAGTGTGTCTATACATGAGCCAATCATCAACAAATAAATATTGTTTTATACCTACTCTGCTGATAATCAGCCGATTTAAAAGCTATCCCTGAGAAATGACTGTTGTGAAAATGAGTGGTTAGAATGGAGATATATATGTAAAAGGACTGCATCGGTGCTTGGGCTCACCACTTTTATCATACTCCACATAATCTGGATGCTTGGCATAAGTCAGATGGCCAACATGGGCCACCCACAGCAAAAACTGAGATCACGTTGGATGACTTGGTCCACCTCTTCATATGCAACATTATCCATCACAGAGGATGGCCTGAGTGAAAAGTCTAACAAACACATTTTGCATATATCTGTGCAGCTTTAAATGGTATTTTGGATTTTTTTTTAATCAGTAAAAGATCACTCTAGGACAATCTGAGCCATAGAAGCCCTTGCTGGAATATGTTCAATATTATACAACCACAACATGAAAGTCATTTTTGTGATAGCCTTTAATGAACTAATGGCTACCCAAATACCTCACCCCTGAATAAACATAACAGTTCAGGTATCTATAGAAGTACAGTGACTTAATGCACAATTCCCTGCTTGGTGCCTAGTTAAGCCACAAGATAACAACATGGAGAGAGGAAGAGTTGGTGGTTAGCTTAGGGGGGGGAGGGGTGAATATGCATGTACTGGTGAAATGCAACATCTCGCAGTCATATTGCATTCTAGAGTTCAAAGCTTTTGCATCTTTCTGGATGCCACGTGCAAGGACGCACATGATTCACAGATGTGAATCCATGCAAAATACTTACCTTCTCAGAAATTGCATGATCATAGAGATTAGAGATGAGCAGGGGTCAAAATACTCGCAAACACCAAAATTATCACCTGATTTTGGCAGGTTACATTGGTATCTGAACCTAATGCCCATAGAAAGGACAGAAAAGGAAAGGGGAGGAAGACAGAAAAAGAGAAAAGAAGACAAGATATAGAGGGAGACAGAAGAAAGGAGTACACAACTTTTCTTCTGTGATTGCTCTTTCACTGACATAACAAGAGTGACACTTGCACTGGTTAAAACACTTCCAGAAGAAGGATGGAGGCACTATGGAGCCATTAACAGTCCAATGCTGGCCATAGATGGAATAATCATTTAGCCAATTCAAAGGAAAATAAGATTTGCAGGTGCTCCCATTACAAAGCACCATATAATGTTAATATATTACTGACAGCTCTATTTTTTTTTTGCTGGGTAATCCTGACAAGTTTTACTAATTGCTATGGTGTCCTTTCAGTGACTTTAACGCGTACTACTGCCACTGATGTCTTTGGTCATCAACACTTTCAGGCTAGGTTCACACCTAGGTGACTGAGCAGGTGAGTGGTTTTCGCACGGTTGTCACGCGCTTTCATTGGCGTGACTGTTCTTTGAAAACCGCGTGGTTGTCGTGTGGTTTTCAATGCATAGAGATGTCTATGGGACCCAAACTGTGCGACAACCACATGAAAATAGCTCCTGCACCTTTTTGCGTAGCAGGCGATTTTGTCTGCGCAACAAACCGCAGAGGTGTGAACAGCCTCCATTGCCTTCAATGCAAATCTGTGTTTTGTGCGATATGGCATGACTCAATCAGCGCAATAAATCGCCTAGGTTAAATGATGCAGAGAAATGAGCAATGAGAAATGTCATGAAAACTTTCATCCACCACTATTTGGGTCTACTGAAGTTGCCCATACATGCCTATACATACATTGTAGATGTGCGGTCATGATACAAACTCCCATAGGTAGAGTATAAATTAAAGAACCGCACACAATTTCATGCTCAGTGTGGCAAGCATGCAGTTGAACCCTATAGAAAGGGGATGGGGCAATAGGAAGGAGCCATAGAATGATAGCTTCAACTCTGGAGTATGTATTTATTTACTCTGTCTAATCATATTTCCCACAGTTTAGTTGGCCATGGATGTCTGAAAATGCCACAGATGTGAAAAGGTAAGAGATCGTTTTGTGTTTGGGGGTACCTTAAGGCTATTCTTTGCCACCTGCAGTGCCCAAACATGGGTCAATTAGCAACCTGTAAATGTTATTTATTATCTACTCTGCTGATAATTAGGCTATTTAAAAGCTACCCCTGAGAGAAGCCAGCTGAGATAATAATTGGTTGGAATGGGAGATATGGATGTTAAAGGGCTGTTTGATTTCACCACTTCTGTCATACTACACATAATATGGAAGCTTGGGATATGTTAGATAGCCAACATGTGCCACCCAACAACAAAGACTAAGACTGGATGGCTTGGTCCACCTCTGGATGGCCTAGTCCACCTCTACACATCATTATCCTAACTGAATCCAGTATCAAGCTGATACTACTAATGGATTTCAAGAAGATGTGAGACTTTAGATATGAAAAGAAGAACCTAAAAGTAACTATGCAGTTTGTTGCTGTCAAAAACCTTTATAAAGAATACATTTATTAAGGTGATTTGGTGGTTTGCTTTTCATGAACAATATAAACAGACAAAGGCTCTGGAAGAGTTCTTTTGTTGAAGAGATTTCACTTGTTCACTTATTTATAATTATAATACTTGAATTGTTATCATACTGGCCAAAAAACCGATCCATCTATGACCAGCATAGTTCTGAATGGACTGCTTCCTACATGATAAAAGCTAGCGTGAAATGATCAATGTGTGGTTTCCGAATGATCATGAACTGTACTCCCTCCATTCAGCTGGGAGACATTATCAAGACCTCAACTACATCTAATCTGACATAAGCAATTAAACTCAGCTCAGCTTAATCTTTAGTGTCAATTACTGATGTCCAGTTATTGATGATGTTTATGGTTATGTTAATAAAATGTGCCGGTCTGTTATTGCGGGAATTTTTGTCTCCCACAATGTGGTAAATACGTTTTGTATGTAACCATTTTAAACTATAGACATTCTCAACAACCTTAATGATTTTAAATATAATAAATTCAGACACCTCGCACTAAAAATGCAAAAGAAGAGTATTATGTTATGTATATAAGGTGACAATTCACATGTATTTAGTGTCTGAAAAAAGTACCTAATTTCAGTCAAAGATTTCAATTGCAAAACCTCATCCTCCTTAAAAGATAATTACACTAAGCATAAAAAATGTAGTGGTGGTCATAACACTAAACTAAGTGTTGAAAGACACAATCAGGTCTAAACCTGCTGCAGGATTTCTGTGTTGAGATCTGTCAGGTGAAAGGCTAAAGGTGCCCACACACATTGCGATAATCGTACGATAATCGCGGGAAATCCCGCGATCGTACGATTATCGTAAGGTGTGTGGAAGCCGTGCGACCTCTATTACTGTAAGGTCGCATGACTTTTATCTTAGGAACATGTTCGAAAACCCGCCGAGAATCGTACGATTTTTGGCGGGTGTGTAGCATGTTCGTAAGATAAAAGCTGGATGGGCCGGTGTGCGCAAGCGCACACTGCCCGTTCAGCATTGTGGTCATCGGAAGCCCGCCCCTCAGCGGGGCGTGCTTGCGATCATCGCAAGTACGATCTGCCTGTCCAAGATAGGCAGATCGTACGTTTTTTTAATTACCTTACAACCATTGCAAGACAGAAGTCTTGCGATGGTTGTAAGGTGTGTGCCCAGCCTAACACATGTCGTGCTAACTGCTGCTGAGTTGAAGATGGCAGTGGATCTCCACTGTATGTATTTTACATTTAGTTAAAGGAAAACTCATAAGGTTGGTTTGACTTCTGGGTTTTGTGTGAATTAGAAAACAGAAAAAATGGAAATGGTTAAAAAGATTTCATAGGACCTAATTATGGTAGATCTCACCACTGTAAAACTGTAGTTTTTAATAAATCAACATATTCTACCCAACAAAATTTAACATTAAACAGAATTATCTTTTTAAGAGTGTATTTGTATGTGATACAGAGATCACCCACACCTTGTATCAGCACTGGAATGTACCTTTCCTCCACTGAAGCTTCTTTTATCTGATGGTGGGGCTTTGTTCCTTCCATTTCTCGTATACTAACAGCATAAATCTTAGTGGTATAATCAATAGCTTTCTCTCTTGCCACATCACTGTCATAACCTAGGTAGAAAAGTGAGAAAAAAGCTATCAATATAAACCCAATATACAAATATCTTATCGAGTAAGGCATAAAAGAAAAAAAAAAGAATACTCATCTTTAAAGACATATGTGTAATAATATGTTAAATGATAATACATTTACCATGAGTATGCAATAAAAGTAAATTACACAGGTTACAAATGTAATTCATGGCCTCATTCTGTATCTGAAACTCTTTAACTCTTACTCACCTAAATTGCAAGCAAACATACACAGCCTTTAACTAGAGGAGCCAGCACACCTGGTCAGATAACTTTTAGAATTCAGCGGGATCCCTAAAGACCAAGCAGCTCTAGAATTTATAAATTCTTAGCCCTGCCCCATCTTAAGCCTTATTTGCTGTTTGCATAAAAGAGCTCCCTGGACTTTTGGACTCCCAAGAAGCTCTTCAAATTATCTGGCCATGTCTGTAAAATGGCAGGCAAGGGGCACTGTATAGTTATCAAGTGTCAGATTTGAGGTGATACAGTGTAGTCCTCTCAGATTACACTGTATCAGCTCTTATGTGTGTTTCACTTTTGAATTTGCCGCCCAGTTCCGCTCCCATGCGCCGCTGCTGCTCGCAGGGAACGGAACCAGGAAGTCAGATGCCGGCTGGCGATCATGGCGGAGGACATAGATCATTCTCGCCGGCGATCATAGCGGATGACATCGCTGGATCGCCAGGAGAAGGAAAACTCCGCTGACAGCTCTGCAATGTTACCCCGAGCGTGACTCGGGGTTACCGCTCCTGGCAGAGAAAATTAACCCCGAGTCACGCTCGGGATTACCGCCAGGGAGGTTAAGGTAGGTCATAGATTCCAAAAGGCATGTACTGGTACATCATAGCAGCAACTTATGTGAAGTTTTTCAATGTACTCTGTGTACTCTGTAAAGCACAACATCTGTATCTTGGTACAAATAAGTATAATATACAGCCTGGTATATCTCCTGGGAGGTGTAACAAACTCTGCAAGAACAGGAAATGTGTTGGTTTGCTTATCAGCATTGCTTGTTCCTACCTCCATCCTCTTCAGCATCGGTGTCTGACTCTTCACTGTCCACAGATTTGCTCTCTAGATTGCCAAATGCCTCTCGTGTCCAGATCATCAGTGCAGTATCTGCTCCCCCTACAGTCAGCAGGGTGGAATCATCATACAACCATCTGACATTGGTCACATGTGCGCTGTGGCCAACATACTTTTTGAACCTTGCATCAAGACCCTGAAAGATCAGAAATGCAAACTGAATAATAAAAGCAGATGGTTTCTTTTGTGACTTGTGCTGCTCAGGCATTTATTGACTACTCGCATCCTGCTTTTGACTTGCTATATAGTAGGGCAATAATAAATGTACCAAGATGTACAATACCACAGACATACTGCTGCTTAAAATGAAAAGAAAAGATGCTTTACATTTATAAAGCACAGCAAAGTGCTTTAGAATGTGCTTGGCACTCCACTGACTTTGGGACTTCAAACTAATCTGAATGGGGGAAAGGAAAGTCAAAATCACATGATGGGCTCTCCTCCGGTAATGGAGCTCTCTCTTCTGTGTTAAGCAGAGAGAACTCCATGTACCAAAGGCTCCACACCACAGCTCCATTTTACAAAAGGGCGATGTAACCTAGTGCAATATAATGGAGAGCAGGTAGCTAAATCTTTTCCATTATAATTTCAGCCCCATAGTGACCTATCAGATATTGTATTTCACTGATCTGACAGTTCTAAATTGCTGAAAGCTGATAAGGGATATTGATTTACACATCATCGCTGTTCTCTGTATTGTTTTATTGAAAAAGTCTGCTGATTTATAGAGAAGCCAAGAGAATAATGAAAGGCATATCTACCTTCACTGGGTAGGAAAACAATTTGACAAATCCAAAATCATCCCCAGTAGCTAAAGATTTTCTGTCTTTGGTAAGAGAAGCTGCGTTCACATCTGTCACATCACTATGAGCCGGCCAGATCCCTTCACACGTTGGACCGAGGACACAAGTCCATGTGTGCCACTCTATTCGTTCAATCTGCACAGGGTAGTATATGGTTAGATAGAGGACATGAAAACAGCATACAAATCACAGAACCAGGGAAAATAGAATAACAGTTACACAGTTTGTTCACTTAGTATTTTTTTTTGAGACAAGAAATGTTTACACTTAGAGTTTTGTACTTTACTTAGCTTAAACAGACTATAATGTTGGGCACAGATTGCAGAATCTAATACCGTTGCCTGATAACTGAGTGTTGGAATGATCCCAAAAAATGATTCACACACAGCATAAAGCTATGATTGACTTGATTGGAATTTTTGGATTACTTTATGATCTTTTCAGAGTGGGACTAATTTATCAACGTGTTTGAAATTAGGGCCATCAGCCTTCACAGTTCATCCACAGTATAAGGCATGTTTTAATATACCATTCATTGATGTGTTTTAGACACATTGCACTGCATTGTGTCTAAAATAAAATTTACCTGTGCTGAAAAACATAGCAAATTGCAAGACGACACATAATCATTTTTAAACATGCATTCTCTCACTCTCATTTTTTAGGGTTAAACCTGAACAGCTTCCATTTCAAACACTTTGTTGAAGATGTCCTAGTAAACATTACTATGTAACAGCCTACCTAAAAGGACAGAGCAAAACAACTTATGTGTATGTCAGTACTCAATACATTTTGTGAAGGACAGACTGCAGTTAATGATTCTTAATTACTGCCTATGTATGACCAGAGCTGAAGAGATCTACTTGTTACTTTAGGGGGAGAGAGGTAAAAGCTGGCACTGCATGTGCAGACCAGGTTTACCAACACTTCTGCCACTAGGCTAAGGGCAGCCCCAAGACGCTGCTCTAGGCATCGCCCAAAAAGCCTGTGTATCAAAAAAGAGACTTCTCAGATATTTTCCATGAATTGCCTACCAGTCTGTCTGAGTATGACCAGCTTAGCAACCCTTCTTATGAGACAGTAAAGCAGAATAAATACCTCCGCAGATTTAATGGTGTATCGTTTTCCTCTTGGAGCTTCAAAAAATAACTGTTCTTTGGCACCAGTATTAACTTGCAGCAATTTACCTTTTTTTGGAAAAAAATATATATTAGCTGTTGGAGCATAAACATGCAAAAGGTTTTAGTGGGATTTTGATAATAACCCATATATTTTACTATTATTAATATTATTATACTCAAGTTACTGAAAGTTTTAGCCTTGCAAGAGCATTTCACATATAAGAGATATAATTAAGATGAATTCTCTAATTTCATATTAGAAATGTATTGTAGAGAATAATGAGTAAGTCCTGCATTTATATATTGCACAATTAATAGTGCCCTGACTTATAGTGGAAACTTCATATATACATATTATACATACTGTATATAATAATTTGTATTAATAAGTAACATGTGGAACATTTAGTTTTGTAGGTTGAGATAACCAGAGTTCATGTAGGACATTTAGCTTTGTAGATGGAGGTAACTAGAGTTCATTTAGAACATTTAGGCCTTATAGGTCAAGGTAACAAGGGTTCAAAGACAGAAAGTAATTAAGAATTTTTCTGATCATGGCTTAAGGAACAATAGGTTCAATGCCAAGACAGCTGTCCTCTAACCTTGATGTGAGAGAGTCTAGAAGACCCATCTAATGTTCTTGGCACAATCAAATACGAGTACAGGGTGGCATTATTATCAGATTTCTGGAGATAATTGAAGGTAACACATTTGGTTCCATTGCTCAAAGCACTATATAAAAGGGCCTGCAAGCCCATATTCGTTGGATGTGCCTGACCTGCTGCTTGTTCCTGGCCACCTGAATAAACTTACTTCTTAAAGAGCTGCCTGGTGTTGATCCTCTGGTTATTGTACTTCAGGTTTCTCAAGAGTAATTTCATATATTAAAAGCAACTGCAATAACATTTTTTTTTTGGGGGGGGGTGTAATTTTGCATGTGTAGCCCTGGAGGAAATAATTTGCTGTCTCTCAGCACCTAAGAACATCACTGTAAGTGAATAAAAGCTGTTCTACAACCAATTTTCCTCACAGTATATAGAAAATGAGCAAAGTTTAATTTTGGGTTGAATTAGTATGGTGGTGGGGCCTTATTTGTGCAGGGCAAATTCTTGATGTCACACATTTATTATGCCCTAAATTGATAGTATAAATGAAAAAAGGCCCCTATCTGGATGGGCAAAGTGACCAATTCACTTTAAAAGTGACCTAATTTGAACAGCAGTAATCTACAAATGGGACACCTGCAAACAATACCTCTAAATTAATTCAAATTTTACCTCTGGAGTCCCAGTCTATGTGCGTGATATAGCTAGAGGCACCTTTGCAGATTCCAACTCTTTTGCTTGTAAGTACATTATAGATATCCACAAAATTATCATGTGATGCCACAGCCAGATACTTTCCAGCATCTACAAAAATAATAAAAAAAAGTAAAAATAAAAAGAAAGGGACCAGTGCGATATGGTATTTATTCAATCAAGGCACAAATTAGTCTGTACATAGTTTGTAAAACAGCAACATACACGTTTGCCTGCTTTGTGAGTTCTGCTTTTAAAAATAGGCTTAGTATCATAATTTTTTCATAATTAGAGGGGTGCGTTTAAAAAAATGTTTTGGGTGTTACGGGCAGAACGAGCTTAAAAATACAGATTGATCCAAATCTATGTAGGGTTTCCAAAAATGAATAATACCTGGTGAAAACCTAATATCAGCTATCATTTCCTTCCGGTGATGAAAAGACACCATGTCTTCAAGAGTGTCAGCATTGACCACCATAAAGCTGCCATCATTCAGGCCTACAGCTAAGGCTTTCCCATCTGGAGAAAAGGCACAGCATCGTCCACCTGTGATAAAACATGTGTAAGCAACTGAAACAGTAACTAAATCACAAAGCTAAAGAATCTATTGGAATTGTCATATCTCCACTAAACCAAAGCCAGCTAGCTAATATGTAAACATTTTTCTTGGAGTACTGCATGACACCAATGCTAAAAACCGACATTGGATGTAGTTTTCTTTTAACGTACACCTGTATCCAGACCAAGGACACTAGCAGAGTTATTCACAAAAGGGTGAAGAGTTTGGAGAAGACCGGAGAAGTGAACAATCTAGGACAAGATAGCTGATTTGGAAAAATGCTTCAATTCAGCTCACTTTCCAGTTAGACTATGTTGTCCTAGATTGTTCACTTCTCCTGCCTTCTCCAAACTCTTCACCTTTGTGTGAATAGTCCCCTCTGCTGTCAATCAGCAGAGGGGACCTGCAGTTCTCCATCAGGTCCCCCCTAGTGATTGACAGCAGCAGAGGGCGGGTGCAATAGCTAGTTTGCTATTGGCTATCGCAAATTGAAATAGCCAATAGGAATCTAGCAATGCATTCCTATGGCGAAACATTTATTTATTTTTTGACGGCAGCATAACTGCCGGCCAATAGAAAACAGTTGGGCGGAGCTAGCTGTCACTGCTAGCTCCGCCCAATCGTTTTCTATTGTTTTTTTTCTACTTTTTTAACTAGTTTTCTATTCTGCTCGGTCCGACAGAGGGACCAAGCAGAACAGCCGAGCCGAATGCCGCTCAGTGGCATTCGGCTATTTACTCGCTGCTCTTCGGTATCTATGAGAATAGACCGAACAGCAGTTAGTAGCCTGCCGGAGGTTCAGCTTAGCCGATCCAGATGTTGGATTGGCTGAGTCGAACTCCTTCTGTACTTCGGGTCGCCCGAACATGCTGAGCATGTTTGGGCGACCCGAAGCCACGCGATGTACGGCTGATTTCAGCCGATATACGGCTGGAATCAGCCCTACCAGCCTGCAGTGAATAGCCGAACAGCGTTCGGCTCACTTCGCTTCAGGTCGGTCGTTCACTCGTCTGCCTACGGCAGCTTAGTGAATGGACCCCTTAGGGAGTTATTCACAAAGCTGCCGAACGCAGCCATGTGAATAACCGGCTTAAAATGAAGGGAGCCAAACCCCGTTCGGCTATTAACTTCAGCCCTGTACGGCTGAAGTTGTACATCGGCTCCCTTCACTTTACTTTGGTTCAGCCGAACAGGCTGAAGTAAACAAAAGAAGAAAAAATAACAAGACAGCGTTGGGGTTCCCCCAAAAGCCGGCCGACCCGAACTCCCGCACCTGTCAAAATTAACAATTTGACAGGTGCCGGCCAAATATCAACAGATAGGCTGAGCTAGTGGTGATGTCACCGCTGGCTCTGTCTATCTTTTGTCGTTTGGCTGGGACCTGCCAAAATGCTATTGAGTCTCACCCTTTTTCAGCTTCCGCACAGCCAGCATGCGGTGTTGGGAGGAGAGTTCCCAGATCCGGAGAGTTTTGTCATCACTCACTGTGGCACTTATAGGCAGCTGTGGGTGGGTTGCCAGACCCCAGACTTCTCCTTCCATATGTCCCTGTCAAAAAAAAACAAATTATTACATTTTCACAACAGTTTCTGTATCACTAAGAATAGCCAATTTGATTGCATAAGCCTGTGCACTATGAACTAGTGAACTAGCCACAAAGAGAATCTACATTTATTGCTCATCATGATGGACATACAGTATATAACAATCTAGGGAGGCTGTGCTTACTGTTCACAAGACTGTTACTGTCTGGTCTTTACAATAAGCTCTTTTAGTTTATTAAAGCTGAACTCTGGGCACAAATATGTTTATTTAAATATACTCCTCGATAGCCATAAAGGATATAAATCCACTTTTTGTGCACCAAATGTCCTTGCACCCTAAATATTATCATATATTTATGCACTGACATCATCACTGCGCTGCACATAGCCTGTGCAGAGAGCAGAGCTGTGGGAGGGACCCAGCAGACCACCAGGCCCGGATTTCCCACAAGGCCACCGAGTCCCACTACAGGATGCCTGCAGAAAACTACAGGAGGGGTGGATACAAGACCAGTCACCCTGTACAAGGAGGAGAAGTATTAGAGACTGGTCTTTATTAAAGGAAGCTCCTTCACAGAGGCAAAGTTTCACGCTGGATTACAGCACAGATCTGGAAGAAATACACAAAGAACACCAAAATCCAACAAAAAATACACATGACTCTTGTATTTAGACCATATTTGCTTCTCCCAGAGTTCAGCTTTAAAAGATCTCAGAATAAAGAGTCATTAGATCTTGCCACAGTAACCACAAAAATCTCTTACTTACTCTTACTTATAGATTAGGTTACTTTGTGCATTACCGTCAGTTCAGCAAAACAAATGGCAAACGCACTCATCAATTCAATTTTATCTTTTGCTACATGTGCTCCAAGATGGAGACTCTCATAGTTTAGAGTTAGGACCACACTATATAGAGGCGCCTTGGCGCGGCTTTCACATTTTCTGCAGAAGACGTGTATCTAAACCTGTTTTTAACCTTAGCGGTGAGACAAGTTTTTTTGCATGCTGAGTGGTGAGTGTGCTGGGAAACGTTTTGCTGTTACCTTCAGTTCATTCTCCTGACACTTTGTGGCTAAATATGTTCAAAAAGCTGATATGTGCCCATAAATTGTACTACAGCCAAAATGTAAACATCACCCTGTAAAAACTGTATTACTAATAAACACACTGCATTTCCACTTGTGCATTCCTAATAGATTCCTAACTTTGCAGCCAAATAGAGATAATGCCTACTTTATATTTGTTACATATTCCCATTCACACAAAATACATTTAAAAAATATTATAAAACCGCTACTTACCTTTTTCATTGTTTGTAATGTTAAGGAGGGGGCTATAGAGTTATTTTTACCATAATTAACCCTGCCAGTACTGTGTTGGCAGTTGTAAAATAGATGTGCACACTGTCTAAGATCTGTTAAACATCTCAGGGTCCCTACCTGCTCCTTATCTGCACATTGCCATCTTTTCAAGACAGTAGAAGCTTGCCTGCAATGTCCAATGTATAAAGCTGAGAAACAGCTAAAATGTTAAGAAAATATTTAGAAATATATATGTATAGGTATGCTGCGTGCATAGGAGCACATAATCATATAGCCCTTGTTCTCAAATTTGATTGCAAAGGAGGAAATATACTGTAAGGACTCATTTTATTCAACAGATGTCATTTGAGTTTAACACTGCTCGCATCAATCGTGTCCTTTAGGATCTCCAGAGAGGGCAATTAAAAATGCATCCAGACACTGGTTGTAGTCTTTATCATACATGGAGATTTTCTAGCTAGCTGGCACAGAGCCTTTCCTCTTCAGTGTTGCTGTCCCCTGGCATGTAATTTTTGGAATAACAACTAACCAAGGATGTCCCACCTAGAATAACAAAGGGGTGAGAAATCTGCCCATCCTTAGAAGCATCATTCCGCTGTCTTAACCCACTGCACTCTTCTCTCTATGTGGTAGAGGTGTATAAGCAGTTACATTTCACTTTATTTCACAAGAAAGCTTATAATTGTTGATTGTATTCTTGTTTCCATAATGGCCAGAGTCTGCAAAAATGTAGATCAAGTCTTTTCTGGTTCCAAGTACCATGGATTTCAGAAAAAGATTTTATAAGCATAGAATTATGTGACAAGAGGCAGTCAGAAGCAACAAGGAAAGCCTGTGAAATCTGGCAGCAATTCCTTATATAAAAAATGAGGCTAAGGGCCCATTCACACCATGTCAAGACAAGATCCAGCCCAGACTTTTTTTTGTCTGGTCCAAAAACGCATTCCATTCATTCCTATGGTAAAAAGAGGGGCAAGTTCACACCACTGCGTTCTATTCCAGAATGTTTAAAAAAAATATTTAATTCACTAGTTTCTCTGGTCTGGAACATAGCAAAACACATGCAAACACACCAGAACACACTGGAATGCACTAAAAAAAGTTATTTGAGACAAAGAAATGCACTAAAACGCATTAAAAATGTGCCAAAAACGCATCAGAAACACATCCAGATCTGGTGTGAATAGGCCCTTAAATAGAGGAGACTGGATTGAATACCATTATAATGTTTCCTGGATAAAATCAACAATTATGCAGTTGATTTTACCTAGTTTTATAGTGGCTTCTAAACAACTTCTTTTTTCTAAGTAAACAACACTGTCCCGCACTGTCAGGGCCACACTGCATCCACACATATGTTTCAGAAAAATGCACACCACAGCGCCCAGCATACTCCCATTGATACGGTATTCTCCACCAACAATCGTTTGCAGGCTGCCGTCATCAAAAGGCCACTTGGAAGTATTTCTCACAAAACATACAATCATTGTGTTATCCACACATACCCACTAACAGGGTTATTCACAAAAGGGTGAAGAGTTTGGAGGAGGCAGGAGAAGTGAACAATCTAGGACAACATAGCTGAGCTGGAAAGTGAGCTGAATTGGAGAATTTTTCCAAATCAGTTATGTTGGCCTAGATTGTTCACTTCACCTGCCTTCTCCAAGCTCTTCACCCTTATGTGAATAACCCTGTAAGTATTTTCTATGGTACACAATGTTATAGTGAAATCATGAATTCATTGTTTACAAAGCTGCTATTGGGGTTTTGATTTTGGTTTTGTCTGGCAGAAAGAGGTTAAATCTGTAGCCACACTGTGGATTCTATTCAGCAATAATAAACCTTTACCAGGCTTTCCAGACCACCATAATTACCTCTCAGAGCTTCTGCTTTTCATGTATTAGCTTACAATGATCTAATCAATGTAGAAAATTATGCTATTTTCTTCCACATAATTGTGTCATCCTGGCTACCCATCCCCCCTAACCCCCCTTGGCTTTTGCTCTAGAAAGATCCAGCTTTGCAAATACATTTGGGGTTTTTAGAATACCACTTAGAGTTGTATATGGTGTGGAAGACATACCCAGAGTTATAAAACAGGACAAATAATGGATTTAGAAAACGCTTAGAATGTATTTTTATACTTACACAGACAATGGAGCAGTCAAACAAAATAGATCAATAGACAAACTATTCTAACTATTCCAACTACACTAGAGCTCATCATAGTAATGTAGTTCAGGGGTCAAAATTTCAAGTCCTGACCTACTAGCCAGGCCTTAGGAGTTACTCGCCACCAGTTGCCCACCTTACCCTACCCTGGCCTTAAACTCCGCCCCTAAAATCGCGTCGCCGTCAGCCCGGTCTCCACGGTTCTTCATAGTGTCTCCTACACTCCACCCGTCCACGAACACCGCTCGTTCCTGGACACCAGGCTCCAACGTCCGGAACTTCTACCTATGACCCGCTCTTCACGGCTCACGCCGCAACATCCGCACTACAGGCTTCTCCAGCAAACGCCTGCAGGTCACAGCTCCGTCGGGCTGCCCGAAAGCCCTAGCGTGAATCCTTATCCACTGCGGCTGAACAGTCCGGCACCTCCAACCGCTCTCCAGCTCCCCTATCCAGGACAACACGTCGCTCTACCGGTCCACATCAACTACCACTAGAGGACACCTGTGCCAGCACTCCTGAGGACCACCCCAGGGCCCACCGCCGCTGCACTACACGGGCCGCACCGTCATCGCTGAGAGCCGCCCTCCACTATCCCCACGGTGAGTCACAGAAGCCCACCCCTTCTTCACCCACCATTGCATACCTCACCCCCTCGCGTTTGTATCCCCATCTGCCTACTGGGTTGAAACGCCACGCCACCCTGAAAAAGAGGGACCGCTACCACCACCACTCCACCCCATCCGCTTCACTGCAACCCGACGATTACAAGCGAATACTCACCCAGACTCAGGTGAGTACAACATTTACGCTTACACCCCACTCTACCACATTTATTGCGCTAGGTAGTGGTGCTTCCGTCTCCAATTTTTGTTTCCCTGCTTTACAATATAAGGAAGACATTACAGTTACAATACAATTCACTCCGTTTTCGAACCGGAGCTCAGTGAAGAGCTGCGGCTGAAAGATCGGAGAGCCCAGCAGGAGCAGCTGCTCCCACTAGTCAGGTACTGACTCAAGCCTGGCTGAATTTCCACTCGCCTGCACTGCATTTCAACTCGCCAAATGCGAGCAGGCGAGTGGATAATTTTGAGCTGATGTAGTTGGTGGTGGTCATTTTTTATTATCAACTTCAGCGATCTCCAAGAATCATTTTCTAGTTCTACTGCTACTTTTCTACTACTCTGTGTGTTACACTCTTATAGATGGGGCATATACAGTATAAGTTGTCTCTACAGGTATGGCATTATTACCCTGCAGATATAAGCAACGAAACATCTACAAGATTTTTGTGAATTATCCCCTGTGCTTTAAAAGGATTACTGCACTAGGAAAAGGCTTACAGACAGTGGAATTCTGCGAGGCAATAACAGGGTTATGGAAAAATAAAAACAATAAAAAGTATAATTAGACATGTTTATATGGCTTCAAACTATTCTACAATTTTGAGATCTAATGGTCACTCTGTAGGAAGGAGCGACCATGAGTGGTTACATGATCGCTCAGCTCTCGGTATATATAGATCAGGCACATGACAGCTGCAGTGTCCCACGCCAGCTCTAAGAATTGGGAAGAGTATATTTTAAAGAGTATATTTTACTCACCCAATATTTCTCCTTACTACTTAGGAAGTTACTGAGCAAAACCAAGTAAACATTACTGTAATGGAGAAACAGAAGATTTGAAGCAGGTGATTGATGTAGATGATGATCAATGAAGTGATATGAAGGCTTACCTTGTGTATTTAGAATAAAAGAAGGTGATAAATTAGTGGTGTATTGCTCTAGAAAGATAGAAAGTGGGGAAACTATTAACCCCTTCATGACTGAGGCCTTTTTTTCATTTTTTGCACCCATGTTATATTCCACATTAAAACATTATATATTTTTGATGCTGGGGGTCCAAAAGACCCCCAGTGTCACCTTTACACTGGAAATAAGCTATTGAAGTGCAGATCGCACTTCAATAGCTTATAGCTGGGCTGCAGGAGCCCAGAACTGACAGCCCAGGGACCGGAAGTGATGCAATCTGCATCGCTCCCGGTCCCATAGAACGGGGAGGGGATCGATGAACGGAAGTTCGTCGACCTCCTCCCCAGCTCCCCACGGACACCAAGGGTTGCGGTGTTTTTTATGAGACGTGATGCAATAAAAGTGACAGAAAACTGGGGAAGAACGTGCACGCGGCGATGGTGGAGGAGCGACGCGTTTCGAGGTGATCCTCTTTATCAAGCTCAAAGGGAAAAGGTAAGTTACTTACCTTTTTCCTTTGAGCTTGATAGAATGGATCACCTCGAAACGTAACTTACCTTTTCCCTTTGAGCTTGATAAAGAGGATCACCTCGAAACGCGTCGCTCCTCCACCATCGCCCCGTGCACGTTCTTCCCCAGTTTTCTTCACTTTTATTGCATCACGTCTCATAAAATTTTTTAAAAAAAAAAAAAAAAAAAAAAAAAGTACATTCAAAGACAGCAAAGTAACAGATAAAAAAAACAATATAACAAAAAAAAATGACACAAGCACTATGAAGAAAATGTCTTTAGGTGATAGCTGAGATAAATGTCAAACAAAACCCTGCACATTTCTTTTCCTTTACAGCAATAGAATTACCTTTAGAATTGGAGGAAACAGCGGATCTTTTAATGGCATATGTCTTTAGGCACCTTTCAAACATGTCATCCCAAAGCTCCACTACTCCGTCCTTCCCACCGGTGACAAAGCCCTGTGACACACAGATGCGAAAAAATGAGTGCTAGTATATAAATATCTAGAACATTTTGTGTACCCTATAAATTGAATTCAAGTTTGCATCATGTAGTTTTCGTGCTGTAAAAAAGTGCCAAAACTAACACCATGACAGCAGAAGCCCTAAGGAAGTACTGCAATGTCAGATTTCACTAGCTGAGTCCATAGCTGCAGTTCCCTGTATCAGAGGAACGTGGGATCTCTGAGAAGAGGAATCGCCTGTGTTACTCCCTCCAGAAAACAGCAGATTACCAGTTTTTCTAAAACATTTTTCATATGTCATAAATGTATTTTACCTCTTCCTGAAACAGCACCAACTTAATTACAAAGGAGGTCTGATTAATTAAGTAATTATTTTGTATGCACTGTAATTGCTTATGTAATGAAATGGGCAAGCTGATCTGCAAGGTTTGAGCTCAAGCCCAGATTAGGCTGATTAGGCTGCAACCAGAGAATATTCAAATATCAGCTGATCTGCCACTCCAAGTCTAATCGGACTTTCTTTCTTTCACATATAAAAAAGGAAAGCCAGGCTTAAACGAAGGATAAGCCCTTAAACTAAACAGGGAATGCCATCACCCATCTGTTTTCTACTTTGTTATTAGCCAGAATAATATTCTGCCTTACTGAGCCCATACCAGGTCCATTAGGATCCATATCTAGCATATATATTTACCCAATTATCCAGAATACTTTCTTTGCAGAGAAACTGGTCCCTCCCGAAATTCCCATCTGATACTAAAAGTCCCCCTAGCTCTGGGGGTATTAACTTGCATGCTTAGTTTTCCAAGTAATACAATTTGAAAAAGTTGTTAAAACCTACGAAAAAATTGTAAAATAAAACAAGAATCTAAAAAATATTTGCAGCCCAGCAAACTTGTTCCATGAACCATCAGTGCAGAACATTTTTAATTATTCACCCATCTTTATTAAGAGACAGTTCTTACCTGTACGATGCAAGTGTGCAACACAGGGATCAAAACCCTACCAAAAGTGTCTAGATTGTGTCCTCGAAGGCATGCATGTTGCAACCAAAAAGCTAGTGGACGTGGGAAAACCATCATAGCCACCAAAAAAACAAATAAAAGCAATTTATTATAAAAGTGCTGGACTATTATAAGGTTTACTGCTAAACTGACCAATAAACGTATGCAGTTTCAGGTTATGAGCATTTAGAAAATCTTTTTGTTCGACTATGAGCTGCAGAATACAATGCAATATCTTGTCAGCTAATTCTTGTTCCTATTTACAGCGGTCTGTGAATGTATGGTATGTGGGTATGGGATTATGTCACACATCTAATGCGTGTTCCCCTTTAATGTTTTAAGTCTGGTGAGTTTTGCCTGTGAGAGCTCCTCTGTTATTCTGTAGTGACATTTGTCTCATTGTTCTGTTTTTGGGGGCTATTTAGGGGTTTCACCCTCACCAGCCAATGGTGATACATCTGTCTGAATTAGCCTGTATTGGCTCCTGCCTGTGTGAGCCTATGTCTGTTTCAGTGTTTGAACTGGGCACTTCTGTTATGACTTATCTAATCTGATTCTAGTATTTGTCATGCATTGATCTTGTCTATTTGAATGTGCATTCTGTTGTTCCTGGTTATTGAGTCTGTTGTTGCCTGTCCGCTGTGTACACCCACTCTGTCTGTTTTTGCTTGTGGTGACACACAAGTCCATCTCTACCTTTAAAATCTCTTGTGAAGACCGGGTGCCTTTGGTCCTTGCTTCCTAGTAAGAACCATTTACCATTAGCTTTCAATGTAGCATACTCCCATCTGTCCCATATGATCCTGTATGTGCTCTCCTGTGTGTCTGCCCTGTGCTCATGTTTCTGTTCCTGCTGTGCCCTGAACTTCTACTGTCTATCAACAAGTTCCTTTGCCTCAGGATTTCCCAATACCCATACCTAAAACCTGCAGTTCAGTTGCTATGTGACAGTTCATTAGGAGTTAAGCTGCTTTGTGCATCTTGGCCTGGTGTGGCCTTGACTACAGGTTTTCCTACTACTAAAGGCATTATGATTTTCTTCTAAATGTTGACCAAAAAAGCAGACACAAGCATGTAGCTTTTTGCTTTTCTTGAATATTTGAAATTCTTCTATTAATGGTCAGTTACTGCAAGGACAGCAGATGCTGCAGGCAATGGTTACATCTACTGGTCATCAGTAATGCGACAGAACATAAGGAATAAAAGTAGACCTGAGTGTGCAAGAAAACAAAAGGCCTAAAGGACTTTGTGACCAGTCCAAAAATCTGCTTCTAATAAAACATTTTTACTGTGCTAAATACAGAATCAAAATCTTGTCATATATTAATGTTTTGACTTATGACACATGCTATATGCATATCCATCTTTTTTAGTACAAAGTAACCTACATATGTGCATCCATTTGTTGCCAGTCTACTGTCTACATACAGACACAATAACAGGACAGCATACGTATAAAGATGTTATCACCTTATCCAATGCGTACATGGCAAAGACTGGTCCGTCGTGGGCTTTGATGGTTTTGAGCAGCATAATGTCTTTCCAGATGTAGATATCTCCAGTGGCTGCACCAGAAAACACCAGTTCTTCTGCCCGCCCATAAGAAACACACATCATTGTTTCTAGTTTAGCAACATTTCCAAACGTTCCTCGTTTTGCGGTAAAGCCACCCCCTGCCAAGAAGATGTTGTAGATGAATGTCACTTAACAAAAACCTAACACTTCTGCCAGTGCTGAGACTGGCCACAGTAATACAATACAGGCACCTTCCGTGTGGTGTCTGCATACACTTTCAGTTACCTTTTCCGGACCCCTGGGGACACAAAATTGTCCTTCATACAAATATTGTTACACCTGTGGAGTGTTGAAGGCTGTCCCTCCTCCTCCTGTACTTTGCTAAAGGTAAAAAAGCCATTCATAGTGGCAGGCCAATAGCAAGCTGGGGTTGACAGGAAGGGGCAGGCCAGCATTTTACAATGCAGAGAAGAGTATACATTTGCATACGAAAGAGCCCTATGGTTGCAGGCTACTTAGGGGCTGGAAGATATATCTGAAGGCATATTTTTATTGTTTTCTATTTTCCTATTGGGGAAATTTCCCGCCACATGCTGTTCTGTCTGATGCCCATCAAACAGAACAGAAAATTAGGGAAAGTCTTCAAGGTGGTAAGACAGACTCCAATAATAACCTGTTAGTGGTTCTACTTCTTCCTTTCACCTATACCAAAACACCTTCCTCCAACCACCTGTAACAAAATTGAGTTTACACGTACATATGGCAAATGTGGAAGCCTTCCATCAGCTTTTGAAAAAAAAAAAAAACTGTATTCAGTGGTCCACAGTGATTACTAAACTTGATTTCTTCTCATGGCTTCAAGAGACCAAAACAGCAAAACTGGGAAATCAGTCGTAAAAGCTTGCTGATTGGCTCTGCACAGGTTTGGACCATTTCCACTACAATTTCAATTGTAACCAAGAAGCAGTAGAAACCATAGGTGGCTGACTCCAGTGTCTGTTCAGTTTAAAGTAATCATATCTTCTCAATAAAACTGCCACAAAATGGTCATGTGTGCATGCAGTAAACAAGAGAGACCAGTATCTGTAGCACCAGTAATTCTAAGTAGAGAAAAACGTTACCTGTTTGTTGCCAAAACTTGATGTGCTTGATGCCAACGGTAACCAGCTTATCAGTGTGGTGTGGATTACATTTCACAACAAATATTTTATCCTTGTGCCCTCTGCAGAAAGAAATACACATTGTAATGGACATATAAAGGTTATACAATTTATAGAGAACGCCCACACGACCCTGCATTGTATCCTATTGTCTCAGATACAGGTGCACAGAAATAGAAATTTAAAAACCAAATTAAACCGAAATAGAAAAAATTGTCAGGCCGAAACCGAAAATGTTTTTATTTTATTTTGTTATATTTTATTTTTATTTATTTTTTATAAACTTTTACATTTTTAAT